ATGGGTAATTTTAATTGGATCTTCCCCACCCCCACCCCATCGTAGCAAGAAAACTGCTTTGCACTAATGGAGTATGCACGTTTGAATGCTGATTGGCAGTGGGAGCGTGCCTTCAAAGAGGCATGCTCCGTTCGTGTGGTTTGCGTTGAAAATGTTTGCTGAAATTCATATTTTTTTCCTTTGCAGAGTTTCTGGTGTAGCAAGCACTTTCAATGCAAATTGCTTCAAAACAGAGCTCTCTCAATTGCACTGGGGAATTCCCAAGCAGGAACTCACTAGTGCAGCTGATCCATGTGGGTCTCTCTGTCGGAGCTGATTGGCACTGACATGGAGCCCGTCTTGCAAAGGGACCATTGGGAGCTCACTGTAGGCTCCTGATCGTTCCACTGTACCTGCCCCACATGTGGTAGAGTGAGGCTACTAAGCATGTTTTGGTAAAAATAGTTTGCAGACTAAATTAGGGTCTCTGCTGGGCCAAATTAAGCCTGCCAGTCAGAGTTTTATGACCCCCAATTTAACGGGGGGACCACATCCTAATGGTGTGTATCTGAGTTCACTTAACTTTTTTGCATGCAAGTGAAAAGCTGCTATGTCTATGGGGAAAAGGAAAAGTAGTAAAATAGGTTCAATATTCTTGACACATGTGATTGACTTCTCTCTAACAAGGGTCCTGCAATAGGCTGCAATATGTCTTTGTGGCGAGTTTGTACAGATGACAATTATATATAATAAAATCCAGAGACACATCACCCATCATAACACTGAACATTTGGCAAGTATGAAGTCAATCTAGCAATGCTTTTGCCTATGCAGAGCAGAATCCCCATTGCAAAAAAAACTGGTTATCTGATAAGTTTATATACTCTACTTTTAGAGGGAAATACTGTAATATCATGAGGTGACATTTCCCTGATATTGTTCCATAAACTCACAAATGCATTCCAAGTTGCAAAACCAAGATGCAAACATAGGAAGCGACAGCTCGATTTCAGTGATTGAACTTTCATTGGTGGTGTCTTGATTTTGCCTTGCCTGGCTCACTTAACGAGGAACCACTGAAAAATTACAGGGAAATGTCATATTGTGATGAATCTTCTGTTAGTTTCAATTTACTGTCTGTCCTCCAAGAACCTTCATCTGAATATAAATAGGACTCAAATTTCCAGATATGTGATGATCAAAATATTGAATGCTTTTGTCTCTTTCCCTCCCCTTCTCCATTATACTATATTATGTAAATGCAGTAAATAGATGACAGATAGTGCAAATGAGTGATAATGGCTGAGTAACTGTGTTTTTCATTAATTCACACAGTATGTGTGATTACCCAGCCAACACACATTCATGTCTCATGTTTATGGCTTCGATGCTTTACAACAGATAAGGGGAACCTGTGGACCTCTGGGTTTTGCTGAACTATAACACCCATCAGCTGCAGTCACCACGGCCAAAGGTAAGGGCTTCTTGGAATTGGAGTCCAATAACATCTGGAGGGCCACATCTGGATTGCTTTATAATATTAATATTTATAATATTAATCACCCTCACGGCCTGAAGACACTCTGCTGAACCTGAAGCATTTATGAAGTGAAAATATGTGCATAGACTGCTGCTCACAACAGTTTTAAGATATACGTAGTCCAATATGGGGGGCTGATGTCCCTTCAGTCGGGTGATGAATGTATAATATAATGTGGAACACAAAGTGAACATGGTCTCTATCTGAGCAAAGAATATCAGTGTATTCTAAAACATGAGCTCTTTCCTTTTGTGCTAAAACAAAAAGATTGTGTAAAAATACAGTTTGTGAATTCTTCTAAAACCCTTAGGTAATCTCCGTCCTCTAATCTCATCTATAATCTATCATTCTACCTTCCCTGTTTCATTACGCTTTGATAATGTGATTCATTTTGCTCCCACTAGAGCTAGTTATAATCTCTTTTCTTATAACATTCTGCCTGTCTTTGTTGGATTGTTTCATTTTAATGTTTTTGGCTTCTTCCCTTGACTAAACAAATTTGTACAAATTGCAGTTTGGTTACTGTGAAATGTACTATTAATCCGGTAATTAATTAATCAGGGATGAACAGATGAAATGCCATCCAAGATAAGACAAATGGTCCATCAAGTCTCATAGATTTTTGCTTTCTGTTGAGGGCTTTAGCACTAACAAAGAAATGTACTAAACTACAAGTAAACAGGCAAACATGGAGTTTAAACCGACAGGAATAATTTTTCACTTTTGTACCAGCATCCAAGGAAAATTGATATGCACATTTTTGCTTACATCAGGCTTCCACAACTTGATGCCCTCCAGTTGCTGTTGGACTCCTATCTAGCAGCAGCCCCAGAATGGCCAATGGTCAGGGATGATGGCAGTTGTCCAAAACCTCTGGAGAGTATCAGGTTGAGGAAGGTTGGATTATATAAATAATTCAAAATGTAGGATGTAGTGGATGATCAGCACTCAGCTAAATCTCATTGAGTGCAGTATTCACTATTAGTAAAGACAGCAGTATGTAGGGCACAATAACTAACGTATTCTCCACTGCTGCATTTCTTATTATTTAGACCAGCCTTATTATTATTTAGACCAACCTCCAGATGCATTGGAATACAACTCTCATAAGCCAGAATTGCCAATGGCCAAGAATGTTAATTCTTGTTATTTATTGTTATCTATTGTATTTATATCCCACCTTCTTCTCCAAGCTCACAGTGGTGGTTCTCCCCCTCTCATATAATTCTCACAACAATCCTGTGTGGTAGGTTAGGCTGAAAGGCAGTCACTGGTCCAAGGTCACTGGTCCAAGTGACCTTCATGACCAAGCGGGGATTTGAACGCTGGTCCCCCAGGTGCTAGTTTAATGATGGGGAGTTGTAGTCCAAACATCTGGAGGACTTTGGTTTGGGGAAAAGCTGATTTAGCCACTTGATGGAACGTAAGAGCAGTTTATTTGCAAGATATGAATAAACAGAATGGAGCTCAAACTCAGTGCAAGGTAGTGAGGAACAGGCAGCAGCAATATTGAGGCTTTCAGCAGCCACCATTGCCAGATATTACACAGTAGTGGCACACAAAGCATAAGTATAAAAGAAATGCATGGACAGGTGTGGGAGAAGAAATGTTGACAACTTACTTCTTATATAAAAGGTGTTTTGGGCACCAGAGGCTGCTTCATTTGAAAATAGTGAAGCATTTCTGTTTCAACTAGTGCAGTAAGCAGTTTTCATGAGAATGCTAATGGGTAATGGGAAATAGAGGGCTGGACCTGGGCCATACAATTGCTACCATGTCAGTATAGTAAGGTGCACATCATGTTTTGTGCTTACCTGACCTGTGAGGTGACTTCCCCTAAAACACGGTTAAGGAACTATTGGTCCTCCTGATGTTTTTGATCTCCTACTCCCATCAACCCCAGCCAATGATGAGATGTTGGGAGTTGGAGTCCAAATCTTCTAAAGGATCCAGTTTGCAGCTTAAGAGTGCAGTTTAGAGCTACCTCTCTCTTGATTACCAATAAGCATCTGAGGCACCATGTGCCTTTTGCCAACATCAGCCCTGACCCCTTGGCAAGTTATCCCAGACAACATCCAGATTAGTCTGCTCCAGTGTGTTGTATGTAGGGATGCCTCTGATACTTCAAAGAAAATTAATTTGGTCCAAATGCAGCTGTTAACCCACCCAAGAGACTCCCTGCTCCCACACCAACCTGTTTGACTATTAAGGTAATAATCTGAGGCTCTTGGGTACTACTGCCCTTAGGCTAGGTGAGCAATCTGGGGAAAGGGTCTTTGCAGTTGTGATTCAAAGGCACTAAAACGTGACAAGCAGAGGTTGGATGGCCATCTGTGAGATTCCTGCATTGCAAGAGTTTGGACTAGATGACCCTTGAGATCCCTTCCAACTCTACAATTAGAGATTGTATTAGTAAATTTATGGTTTTTTCTGATATCTTCCTTGTTTCCTGGTTGTATTTTATGACCTTTTAAAATATAATTTATCTATTGTGAGTGTAGGATACTTTGAAAATTCATATTCGGAGACGGAATAATTACTTTGATAATTAAAAGCCCAAAGTGTTGTGCCAACTCCAAGAGATTTCTTCCTGCATATGTAGCGCCTCTACCTCAGCATCTGCCACACAGCAAGAGTGCCAGCTGTTTGTAACACAGGTCTGCATAACTCAGCGGATAGATTTGATTAACGACCAGTGAGGGGCAGTTTTCGTGAGGCCTGCAAGCTTATTTATTTATTGACATCCCACCGGAACTCCATCTCTTTAATGATTTTTAATCCCTGCTTTTAACTGGTTTTATAATCATTAATTTTAGTACTTTTATTTTATATTCCTGTAGTCCACTTAGAGGTTTTATTACAAGCAAGTCGCATACTAATTTTGTTAAATAAATAAAATAAAGAAGTAAAACAGTGGGGGCTACAAGACAGCCCTGTAGACGTTGCTGGCCATGGACTGTGCTGGATGGGCAAGATGGGAGTTGGTTTAGAAGCCGAAGGTTAGCCACGGGATTAGGCACAATTTTCTGGTCCACCTCAGGTTTTTTTAAAAAAAGGTTCTGCACAGGCCCTGCTGAAGATTCATTACGCAAAACGTTTTAAAGCGCTTCTATGTAGAGGACCCCAATAAACTGATCAATCTCGGCCTTTGTTTACTTCGGGTATTTACAATCCTTCCATCACCCAAAAGTCCCAAGACAGTTACAAGAACACACGTTTAAAAGGCAGATAATGGATTCAAAACGTCGCCATCAATGAAATACATGTGTTTCGACCTTCCCTTGTCACACACCTCTACCATGGGAGCTTTTCCTTAAAAATAAAAAAATCCCTCTTTCCTTCCCCACTCTCGCCCCCTACATGGAGGAAGCCAGCGCGGCAATCGGAACCGGAAGTGACGGTCGCCGGGGGCTCTGAATTAATTATAATTTCCTTTTCAAAATCCCTCTTTGCTTTCCAAAGCAGCGAGGGTTCCGTTAGCCACGCCCCCTCCCCACCCTCAGGGGCCCCGTTAGCGTTCCGGCTGCCATAGTTACCGAGTCCGTCCAGGGCGGGCGGGCGGCGGGGGGGGGGCTAGTTGTGCCGCACGTCCTGTGTGGGGACCGAAAGGTCCCCTTCTCCAACCTCTCCACCCCGTGCCTCCCCACCCGGCGGGTGGGACAGTGGGGCCGCCTTTGCCGCCGCCCTCCTCTTCCTTCCCCATAATGTCGCCAAGCAAGGGCTTCCTCTGCGTTCTGGAGCTGCAGATCCGCTCGGTGAGGCGAAATAGGCGGCGGGGAAAGGATTAAGCGCGCGCGGCGGGGGCAAGATGGTGGACTCTGGGTGGGACACGGGGGATGCGAGAGGGGAAAGTGGACAGGGAACGGGGGCCAAGATGCCAGGGCGAAAGGGGCGCCTCCGGGAGAGACCTGGAGGAAGCGATTTGGGGAGCCTTCAAAGTTTTCTTCCTTTGTGGGGCTGCTCTTTCGCCTTCAGGTTCTTCCACTCTTGCTTTAAGACGAAATAAAAAGCCTCCCCCCAATAATGAGAGTGGGGCGAGATGGGGGGGGGCGCACTCTTGACTTAATCCTGGCAGGGGTTTTTTAATTCCTCCTAACGGTGTTGGCGGAAATCGGGAGGGTGGAGGACCTGGTGCATGAATCCTTGTTAAGACTGATGCGCCTGTTCTGTGACACACTTGCTGCCGCTGATGGATTTGTTACAAGCAAAGCTGCCCAGTCAGAAAACGTGGTTTTATTTGATTTGTTTCTAAAATCCTGCCCCATCCAACTTTTTCTTTTCCCCTTTCTACTGACTGACGTTCTCGAGTACATCTGGAAACTTCATTTTGCCTCTTCTCCCCCCCCCCCCAAACTTCCTGAAATGCTTCAGTAACCGTTAGATTAAATCTCCTCCTCTCCATTTCCTCCTGACCAATTAGACGCCAACGTTTTGCTTTTTTTGCAAACTCTGCACCAATCCCTGTGTGGAATGTGAGTTGGGCACATCTGGTGCTGAATGCAATTAATCAGCTGCTAAAATACTTGCAGGAGTGACAAGTTTTGCATGCAACACTTGGGCAAATCATGGCTTAGTGTGAATGTGCAGGTCCCCAGAGAAAAGATCATGGTTGCTTTGCTCTTTCTCCTGTCCTCCAGCGGTTGTACTGCTGTGAGCTAAGCCATGGTTTGACTTAGTGTGCTGTTCAAACCTGGGCATGTGTCTCACTCCAGACAAACCACAAGCTATAACTTTGTTCATGATGATGGTTACTTGTTTCCTGTTCTTTATTTGCTGGAAAGTTTGGAACACGAAAAAAAGAAGTGGAGTTCATCTTTCTCTGAACCCCAAAGTAAAGTTTTTATGACCCTGAATCCCCAAATAAATGTTGGGATGCCCCATGTCATATGTCTCCATGATCCTGGGGGACTTTCCCCCTTCAAGCCCAACAATAATGGTTTTCATGTCTGAGAACTGGGGAGAGAACCAGTCTTAGATGGAGTCTCTTTCTACCTGAAGCAGCAGGTACTAACTTCAGGCCCAGGTGGCTTCAGTGCTCAGGAGTATCAGGCATAGGCTGACCACAGTGACCTGTGCTCTGATACGATGCCATTTGAACCACTGTAATATGCTATATGTGGGACTTCCTCTGGGGACAATGTGGAAGCTGCAGCCAGCACAAAATGTGTCTGCATGGGTTGGGAGTTGTTTGTGGATAAACAATCATTTAACACTCTAGTACCAGCTCCCTTTCTGCCAGTCAGCTCAATTCAAGGTGTTGACTCTAATGTGTAGAGCCCTAAATAGGTTAGGGCCCAATTACTTGATGGAACATCTCACCCATATCTGCCAAGTTGAGTTCTGCAATTTGGTGGTGTAGGATCTTACAGTTTCACTGGCTGAAAGGGCCTTTTTACAGTGATGCAGGTGGGATCCACAGCCTTCTTTGTGGTGGCAATCTGCTGGTGGAACTTCCACCCCACCCCCCGGGCATCCAGCTGTCCCCATCCTGACCCCCCCCCATAATTGATGACTTTTAGAAAACTGCTTAAAACACTTATTTTCACCCAGTCATTTGAAAGGTCTGTGAGTGGAATTGATGATTCTAATGCAGCTGCTGAGCTGTTGTATTGGTGTAATGTGATGCTTTAATTACGCTGAAATTGTTTTATTGTTTTATCTTGTGTGTTCATTGCCCTGGGATCCTATTGGATGAAGGGCGATCTTTAAATGTAAATAATAAATAAACACACATTTCAATATTGGTTTCATTTTTCTCGTAGCTTGAACTAAAAATTCAATACAGACTGCACTCTTTGATTCAGGGCTGCTCCTGAAAATGGCATCGCCATATCTAGTTTTCCCCCTCTCCTGTAACATGTATAAATATGTTTTTCTTTCATTTTTAATTGAAACAAAACTATATGAAATTACTGCATTATCATATCGATAGAAGTTTGTGTAGAAATACTTAATGTTGTGACATTATGATATGCTTCATTTCCTTGCCTGTGGCAGCTGCAGCCAAAGATGCTGAGCAGGGGCAGACAGAGAATTCAATATAGGGATGCAGTTTTTTTAGCAGCAACCCCATGTTGGCATCAAGTAGCTATACAAATTTTGTGACATAATTGAACATTGATCTTCCAGATAACATGTCCGGGAGTTACCCTGAAAGCCAAAGATGACCTTTATATCAGTGCCCGCATTCTAGGACAATATAAGAAGACATCGTCTGTTCGTGCAATATTTCCCCTTCTATTTAATGAAAAACTGATATTTGAAAAGGTAAATGTTCACCATGTCCTGGGTATGACATTCAGTGCGTTACTGGCATTTTGATCTAAGCACTACTTACATGGATGGAAAATGCAATGTACATACAGTCGCATGAACAAAAGTTTCCTCTCTGCCTTAACTGTTTATTGTTAGCCCTGTGCATAGTTTCCTGTTATTCATGCATGTCTGACTTCACACTGAAGTCAACAGGGAAGCCCACCCACATGGGAACTCAGTTCCTGTGTTCAAGTGTTAATTGATATTTAGGTTGGAAACTGCATATTTTACAGTTAATAAGTTGATTCAAGAATGGTTGTAGGGCAGGGGTGTGACCCCTACATGTGCTTGGGGTGCAACTTCCAACATTGCCAGCTAGCATGACCAAGTGACCAGGGATGATGAGAGTTGTAGTCCAACATCAGAAGAGCTGCAAGTTCACAACTCTGTTGTAGGGTGCATATGTGAGTCCTTCCCAGTCTTGCATTATCCATATTCTCCTGGCCTGTTTGCTGTTCAGTGAAGGTAGCTATTCACAGGCAGTTTTTCTGACTTGTATAGTATCATGGCTTATGGCACCACCCGCCCACACAGGTCTTTGTAGCCCATACGGCCTAGCTTGCTAGAATTAACACCACTTTCAGTCAGTTCTCACAAGTGTATCTTATCATGTACTCTAAAAGTGAGTTGATACTCTCATTACTCTTCATTAGTACCGGTAAGTGCCTAATAAAGTAACCAATAAAGAATACCAGCTCCCATTTGGTAGTAAGCAGTGGGCTTTTCCATTGTGTTGAAAGCAACACAGATTTACATTCCTGTTATTTATGGTTGAATATATGACTAAAGTAATACTGGAAAGGGCAAAAATCAGTGAAGAAAATGGGTTATTTCTGTGAAAAAGCTTGTGTCTCTGTGTCAAATTATGAATCTTGGTTTTTGCTTTTTCTTTGAAAGAAATGAGTGCAGTTTTCCTTTTCCTTTCCTTTTAAAATTATGGTAGCCATATTCTATGTCCTTGTTATAGCTGAGGCCAACTTGTTCCATTTCATTTTCTTAAATTTTCATTTTAGGTATATACTGATGTAGTTGACCCAGGAGACCTTGTTGAACTATTTGAACGTAGGTTTTAAAAAACTTTTTATCTCTATTATATTCTTTGCATGAAATTACTTTAAAGTGTAGAGTATGAAAAGCCAATGGGAGATTAGGAAAAAAGCCAGAATACAGTGGTACCTTGGGTTAAGTACTTAATTAGTTCCGGAGGTCCGTTCTTAACCTGAAACTATTCTTAACCTGAAACACCACTTTAGCTAATGGGGCTCCTGCTGCTGCTGCGCCGCCGGAACACAATTTCTGTTCTCATCCTAAAGCAAAGTTCTTAACCCGAGGTACTATTTCTGGGTTAGCGGAGACTGTAACCTGAAGCGTATGTAACCTGAAGCATATGTAACCCGAAGTACCACTGTATGGTTTTTTATGAATGATGAGAAAATGACAGTTGCAATATACTATAAAGTCACCTTCACTTTCTCAAAAAATAAATAAAAGAAAGTTTCAAAGTAAGGTGTGCCAAGGAAACAAAAAACACCCTAAGTTAAGATGAGAATGTGTTTGTGTTCATTGGAATATCTCACTAAGTTTTAGATGAAAACCCATAGAATTAGTTTAATTATGGATTGCTATGTATTCAGTTGGGAATATTTTTGATAATCTTTTGAATAACTGGTGCTTTTGTAATTTTAAAATTCAGTGAACCTTTGCTCATTATCACACTTGCAGAGATTTGTCATAAGTCCCCCTCCCCCGAAAAACACAAAATATTACTAGTCACTATTGAATATGAGAGAGAAAGAGAGTGAAAATAGGATAGCAAAGAGATTAAAGACAATGCAAGAAAGCAAGTTAACAAAAGCTCAAGTTATCTTTTAATTCTGGGGAAATATAAAATGGTCATTTTGATGAAGCTGTGCAGATCATGGTCTGACCCATACCTGGGCCAAGACCACCTAGGAAACCCATGTATGCTTCATTAAATTTCATAGAATCTTAGAATTGTAGAGTAGGAAGGGATCCGGAGGATCATCTAGCCCAACCCCCTGCAATGCAGGAATATGCAATCCCATATGGCAGAGCTTTCCAAACTGTGTGTCGGGACCTGTTAGTGTATTGGCTGCAGTGTGTAGGTGTGCCGTGTGAACGTTCTCCACGCTCCTCCCGGGGTTGGGAAGGGGTTAGTTTAACCTCCGTTTTGCTAATAGAACTGAATTATTGTGTTACGAACAGATGCATGTTTAAAAAGGGTGTCACCAACATGAAGAGTTTGGAGAGCTCTGCCATACGGGGATCAAACCTGCAACCTTGGTGTTATCAGCACCACACTCAAACCAACTGAGCTATCCATGATTGAAGAAAGGTGGGGTATGTTAAATAAACAAGGGAGAAAGATTTAGGCTAAATATTGACTTGAAGGCTGCAATTTAATACTACTGCTTGGTAGCTCTGTCCCAGCTTCTGCCAACCTTGCAATTCAAAAGCACACCAGTGCAGGTAGATAAATAGGTACTGCTGCGGTGGGAAGGTAAATGGCATTTCTGTGGGCTCTGGCACTCAACATGGTGCCCCGTTGTGCCAGCAGTTTAGTCATGCTGGCCACATGACCCAGAAAGCTGTCTATGGACAAACACCGGCTCCCTCAGCCTGAAAAGCAAGATGAGCCCCATAGACGCCTTTGACTGGACTTAACCATCCAGGGGTCCTTTACCTGTAATTGAGCAGGTGTCAACTTTATGAATTACATGTCACTAAATATGGAAATTATCTATGCCATATGCTTATGACAGCAAAACATATAGTAATCAGAACACCAGAGGATTTGAGCCTACCTTCACACTTCAAGGGTGTTATACTGCCACAGCGTCTCAAATATTATTCTTAGGGATGCAGGAGGTTTTGACTGTCTGCCGCATACCATGACATCTACATAGTTATTCTTCAGATAGTACTGAAGCAGACACTGGACATGCACTGTCTAACTGGTGGAAAACAGCAGCCAACTGAACAACCAGCAAAGGGCATTCTTCCTGTTACCCCTCAAAATGGCAGGAATAAAGATTTCACTTAAACAACCTCAGGAAGCAGCTGTTGTACCATATGTATCTGGATTATCTGATGTATGATAAGCTCTAAAAGTATATTAAGTGTCAGAGCAGTCAACCCATCTGCTCTTACAAGCTAAAAACTAGTATCTTCACTACTATTTCACCCTTAATGTGTCCACTATCCATCTCTGCTAATCATTGCCTCATCAAAATTGTGCAAACCTTTTCTGTTCAGGTTAGAGAAAGTTAAATTGGTGTAAAGCTTTTCGTTTGCATCTCCAAACAACTTCTGACTATAGTTTTCTTCTTTTTTTCTAGGTGACACAACAGTACTTGAATTAATACAAACTGTTCCTCCAGGTATTGATAAATTCATGAATTATGGAGCTTTTTAGAGAAATTTTCATGAATGCCTAACATATTGCAGAGGACTCTGCTTCTCAGGTTGCAAACAGCATAGTTCTCAACTATTCAGAGTCAGCATAATAAACCTTCCTTAGCTGTGGATCTTCCACTGTTGCATAGAATCACAATACACACTATCCTTACGCCAGGGAATATGGTGGCCTCTTCCCTGCTACCTCCCTGTGTTTGTCCATATGATAGCTCAGTTAGAGCGTAGTGCTGATAATGCCAAGGTTGCAGGTTTGATCGCCACATAGGATAGTTGCAACTCTACAATTATATGATTCTATGATCTGCACCCTGCAGTTTCCTCACGTGCAGAGCCTACACAGGTGCATTTATATTTTAAACCACAGATATACTAGAAACTGCTTTTCTAAACCACTTTTGTAAAATGTCTGATGAATCTCCATACTGAGTGTCTTGACCACCTGAGCCTTGGCACGTGGGCAAGGGGGAGCAGAGTGTAATGTTCTCCCTCATAAGTTCCCTATGGCTAATACTCTCCAGGGTTTCAGGAAGGCTATAAAAGCCTTTCTCCTTCAAAAGTCTGTTTTGTTGGTGGGCTAATTTTTTTAGGGCAATCACTAGTTTACATTTGGTTGGATCCAGAATATTTTCAGTGGAACCCGATACAGTATCTAAATGTTCCCATGGGGTGCAGCCGTCTATGTCCCAGTGGATGGAGGATTCTCTTGCGGGACCTGGTGCAGGGGGGTAGAGATTGAAAAAGAGATCACTGAAAATATCCTCGCCCTTCTGCCTCTGGTAGAATTCAGTTAGCAGACTAGGAGCCTGTGGTTGAGAAACAGGAGTCGCTTCCATTTTCAGATGTCTGAGCTGTCATTTTGCTGCATCTGGGTTATTTTTATTGGCACTTTTAATTGAAAGATTGTTTCAAACCTGATTTATTGTGGAATTTTGTATCATATTTTAAATTCTTGATAGTCTATTTTGTAGTTGTAAGGTTGGTTAAACTGATAAAAATAAATTTTACATAGATAACTGAACTGCCAATCATGCAGCTGTTGTCTATTTATGTAATTATCCAATCATGCACTGGGAATTAATCTTATTTTTCAGTATCTACTTACAAGCAACATTCCTTCTCAGGTACAGACATTGCTAATAACCAATTATGTTCAATACACAACATAACCTTCTATCACTTTTGCTCTGGATTGTTTTGACAAGGTACTCTTTTTTGCTGGTGTGTTAAAATTTGAGACCATAAATTTTAAGCAGGGAGCTTTCTTGAATGGATTAAAAAAAATCAGTTTAGATTTATATTTTTTGCTTTTTCCTGATAGCTCTGATCTGCTTTTTAAAATCCCATTATTAGCCTATGTAAATCTATGTGTTTATATGTGTAATATGCTTTGAAGGCCTGTATCTTTGCAAAGAAAAAACCACCACACCTGGTTTTTAGATGATTCTTTTCTCTTATGAGGTCTCATAGTGTTCATTTCTAGAATTTAATTTTTTGCGATATAATAACTTAAACTTAAACCCCATCCCTAAATCTGACTTATACCCCCAGCACACAAACACACACACAGAGCTCAGGCTCTGGAAAGAATCAAGTTTCTAATACTGTTTCCAACCTATCATCTAGAAACATTGCTGCAACAGGTTTTCCAGTTCTTGTATGATGTTGCTGTTGTATGGGCTCAAAAGGCAAATGCACAACTAGTAGAATTGCTTAAAAGGTCTTTAGGATAATTTTCCATGTCAATCATATTGGGAGTAGACCTATTGAAGGCAGAACTTGATAATCCATTGATTTCAGTGGGTATGTATAAAGCTGAATATAACCCATTGGTTTTAGTTGGAAAAAAATAGGTCTGTATTTAATTCTTCTATTGAAATTAGTAGGATTCAAAACTGCTTTACTTCGATTGGGCTATCCTTTTTGTATACAGTCTGGCTTGCCTATATTTGATAAAAAAGAGAAAGCAGGTGATATCTGCCCCCCCTATCATATGTATAACTATTATTTTCAGTTGGAGAAATTCTAGCCACTTATGAGGAAAATACAAGAGATTTCCTTTTCCCTGCTTCTAAATCAGTCACTGGACAACGAGGGTCAGTTCGTGAAATTTTAATGAAGAAGGCCTTTGGTTTTACAGTAAGTGGTGAAATTGTTCTTTGCTCTGAAATATCGCTCAATACTTTGATATGCTCCATATACAATGTGGATTATTTAAGATCCACATTATCACAATATATGATTCATTGTCCAGGCTTTGGGGATATTTGTTTAAGAGATGTGCTGAATTAAGGCTTGATCCATTTGTACTGTTCTATGCAGTACATTTTGTTTCACAGGGCATAAACTTCCTCTTGCTTATTTGAATTGACTTTTTCTGACATTTTGTTGCTATGCGACTTGGTTGGGTGATATGCTTTTGACTATTGCCACCACATGCTATAAACAAGAACGATATTCTGTGAAGGAACCATAGTTCAGTTGCAGAATGCATCCTTTAGATTCGTCTGGTATCTCCATATAGAAAATCCCTCTGCCCAAGAACCTGGAAAGCTTATGTTGGTCAAATATTTTATTTGTTTATCTATCTAATAAATTTATTGGCTGCCATTCGAAAGATGGTATTTTCCCATGACAGCTTATAATGTTTAAATCTATTTAAAACTGTATAAAAGAATATAACAACATAAACACAGTTATGTCAACAGTAAAAACATTTCATGTACCACAGCAAGCCATAGCAGTATATAAGACTATATTCAACACACTAATTAAAAGCAATCCTGAATAAAAATATTTTTAAAACCCACCTAAACTCTAAGGAGTGAACAGTACTGAGCTAGATGAATAAGTAGTTGGAAGCAGTATGAACTTCCCATAATAGTGAGAATTGACTCCTATTATAGAAGCCAAGCTGCTGCTGCTTCTGCTTAACAAAATTTGTTTTTCTCTATGCCATTCCTACCTTTTGCAATTATCTCCATTACTGTACTTGGAACAAAATATATCTTGACAGATCTTTAATTACATAGATTTCACTTTATTGTAGCTTTTTAAAAATGGCATTTCATTGGCTACCTACAGATCCTTTGGTGAATGGCTGCTTTTAGCAAACATTTTTATTAGTTCAGCAGATTCCTATTTGAGTAGTGAGTGTGCTACTAAATTCCTTGTTAAGACCCATTTCTTCATATGGAGTCATTTGGTGCAATTCGTTTCACATGATATCAGTGCAAGTTGCCTTCAATAAGTCTAGTTAGGGCAAGGAAACAATATAGGCTGAGGATAAAGACTGGACACAAATAACAGGAACGGAATAGGAGGAAACATTTTCCCCACAAATGGCAAATCCTATGCTACTTCCCCTGTGCCACATATTTCTTCCAGTGACTACACCCTCTGCCTGCTACATGGAGAAAAATGCAAAAATCTGCAGCTTGTCATTCTGGTTGACAGGCATTGCCTGATATTCTCTTTTATAACCATGATGTTGCCCTCACTGCTGGTGGGGTGGGGTGTTTACTTTTGGAAAAGTAAAAGGAGTTTGTTATAATTTGTTTTCCTTTGTCCAGCATTAAGATGTGGCAAACAAACATAGGGGAAATGTAGGTTTTGTGTAAACAAAGGATATCATAATGTCTCCATTGTCCATATCAAAAAGTTTGAAAGTGATGTGAGTAAAGGTTGTACAGCAATACTTGACTTTTAATTAGTGATATGTAACACGCCATGAAAATCTTTTTAAATGCTTTTGACAAAGCAATGTGTTGAAATAAACGGCAGACCTTAATTGTAGTACAAAAGCAATATAATCATCAGTAATTGAATTGTCAGAAATGCAAATGTTATCTTCTTGACATTTACCATTGCTGTTCTGTCTTTTCTAATTATCTTTATTAAAGGCTGAAATTAACAAAGGAAACTGTTAAAATTAGGAATGGTTTGTTGCAGTAGGTGACATTTACTTCTTTGATACCCTTTATCTCTCTAGTTGGAGCTTGATGTTCAATTATTGTCTCTCTTCTAGGGAATTGCACCAAAATTGAAGTTTTTCACAAGTTGTCTTATTTCTGAAAACCTGTTACGTTCAGAAAAAGCTCAAAAGCAGGTTAGCATAACTTAATTATCTGCACTTTAATTTTTAGATTGAGTATTGATAGCTAGATTGTTTCTTTTGGTGAAATTCCTCTTATGAAAGTTTCTCAGAAATTTTGATTTGCATCTTCAATCAAGTTCAGTAAAAGGCAGCCTGAACATTACAAATAAGTGAATCTAAAAGTGGCAGCTACTTGTGTTTACCCAAGAATTTAGTATTTAGCAATCAAAGATAGGCAAGTAATATTTTATAGGAATAATAATAATAGATAAATGCATTAGACACTCTACTCCAAGGGTAACCTGCTGGCACTAGTACCCCCTATGATGCCTGCAAAAGATCCTGGGTATCATATGCCTCCTCAAATGTCTGCCATTCACAAGACACTGTTTGCTGTTCCTGTTTACTTCTTGTTGGCGCTGCCTTAACTTCTTCTGCACTGAACATGTTGCCTTGAACATGCTCATATTTCATAGATAGGAAGGACTGGACATCCATCTTTCCATTTGTTCTGAACAGAGGAGAGATGCAGATAGGTTCTCCGAGAGTGAGTGCAGCAGTGGTTGATTTGGGTACTTTTTTAACCCATTAATGGAGTGGCATGCCCTCACCATTCTGTGGTCTAGTCTCTTTATCTGCAATGTTAAGGCCCCCCAAATGTTTGACAACTCCTGTGTATGCAACCCCTGCATATGCAAGCAAGGCAAAATACTCCTTCTTAGACCACCACCCTTTGGACCACCACCCATACACTGTTCTTGATTGAGTAGGCCAATGCCAGTACAGTGGTACCTCCGGTTACATACACTTCAGGTTACATACGCTTCAGGTTACAGACTCCACTAACCCAGAAATAGTGCTTCAGGTTAAGCACTTTGCTTCAGGATAAGAACAGAAATTGTGCTCCGGCGGTGCGGCGGCAGCAGGAGGCCCCATTAGCTAAAGTGGTGCTTCAGGTTAAGAACAGTTTCAGGTTAAGAACGGACCTCCGGAACGAATTAAGTACTTAACCCGAGGTACCACTGTAATGGTGGAGGAAACTCCTCTGAAAGGAGCATCAGAGTGTTTCTTTTTTCTAGGCGGTGGAAGATGGTTCAATGTTCTTGTAGGGCAGGTGAACCTAAGATTAGAAGAGAAGCAGAGAGTGGGAAGAATGAGACACCTCCAAGAACGAAGCTGTGTGTGATCTTGAGGTTTTGAAGACTTTTGTTCTGGAGACTTTGTGTGTTAAAAGCAATATAATTGTTGAATATAATTGTGTTATTGATAGTGAGGCATATTCTCTGAAGCCGTTCATTCTTTCTTATTGACTCTCTTCAATTCAGGATAACTTAGACCAGCAGCAACGTTCATCCAAAGATGGAACGCCACAGATAAGGTCACCAAAAAAGAATCCTCCCTCACTTGAGAGAAACAGGCAGGGCCTAGCAGCAAAAACGTATGAGCAGCCCACAGTAGCCTCTCTTTCTCGATCTCCATCTCCTTACACCAAAAGGCGAATGTGTGAGCTTCAGCAACTTAGACAACGCCTGGCCCATCTAGACCTAGGACCTTTTGATTTCAGAAAAGAATCGGATAGACCTCCATTTGTAGTTCGACGTGTATGTATGCCCTACAGCAATTCCAATTTAAGCCAGGAGCAAATCTTGCTTTTCACAGTTACTCTAAGAAGCCTATCATTCAGCTCTTTCTCTTTGTGGCTGCTTATTTTCTCCTAAGCGCTCTAAATGTAAAATAAAGCACTACTCAAGTTCTTTTGTTGATGCTGGCAGTTGACAAAGAACCTGTTATTTCATGAGTGCCATGTTGAATTATTTGTGTGTCTATTTTCCCACTGCACTGGATAGCACAATGGTTGTATAAATTCTACTTGATAGTAGCTGAAAGTTCTAAAAGGACTAAAGCCCTTATGTTTATGTGTGTGTGTTTTAATTAGGCTATTTTTGTAAAACAAGGAAAACTAAAAAAAAAAAAAATTCTGGAGAAATGTCTAATGTCTAATGTCATGATTTTGTTGACCAGGAGTATGATGTGCATGGCCAAATGAAGGCCTCAGGCCACACATATTTCTGGGTTTGAAAGTGTATCCAATGGATTTCCAACTATTTTTTCCCTAAATATCATGTAATGTGTAAATTGTAATGTCTTTGATTCTTTCAATAGACACTTTACAAAGCATTATTCAGACATAATGACAAACAAGTGTGTATGACAAACTGAGGTAATGATAATTTGGCAGGGCTGGGAATTTGGAAGTCTAATAGCTTGCACTTCTGTTTTAAGCTAATCATAATTACGTGATCTGTCTGAATCTAGACAAACTGTGGTTGGTCTTAACTGCAGCTTATGGAAACAAGCCAACTTCAAACCAGGAAGCTGGCTTGTTTCCATAAACCATACTTTAGATTAATCATAGTTTAGGATTCAGAAGTAAAACTAAGCTGCAATTAAACAGCAATGGAAGCATAAGCGACTAACCTTATGGCAAGGCTGTAGGGTAGGGAGGAGTGCACGAGTCCAGCACTCATGCATTGAACAATAAACCATTGTTTGTATGTCCAAACTGGGTCACTGCATACAGACACACATTTTACACTATAAATAAAACACTTAAGAAATTATTTAATTTTCAGCCAGAACAGCTGTCTGCTTCACCTGATGTTTTTACTTGGTGCCGTCCTAAAGACAATATAAAAGATGCTTGGCCTGAGACAACCTATGGTAAGTACTTTTTTGTATACAAAAGATGTGTGCAATTATAGACATAAACATGTTTATATTTTACAATGTGTAACTGCTACAGTGGCCTGAATTTTGTCTCTGTTCTAGTTCATAAAAAATTCCGGTTTTTAACACAGTATCTGATTCCTTACATTCTTGGTAACAGCATAACACATTTTTTGTAAATATTGCTAGTGATGAGATAATTCTAAAAGATCTTAGTGTTTTAACAGGAACAAATGCTACTTGTGTATTCCTTGCTTATATGTACCATCTTCCTGACTGGGGAGTCTACAAATCTTTTTGCCTCATTCCTTACAATCTAGACATTTTGTGTTTCATATCTCTCACTTGACTTTAAAAATACAACCTCATACTCCTATAAAGTCAGCCTTCACTGCTGACTGTGTTTTCAGGAAGTCTCACTGAGCTTATGATCTCTTATTTCCCATTTACACCCCTTGGATTATCTGCTCTGTTGCTTCCAGTAATCCATGGATTAGAGTTGGAACCTGTTAGAGAAAAGCCGTGTTGAAAGCCATTGCAATTCCATATAGCGTTCTCTCGTGGTTTTACCACCTGTCATGTTCATTTGCAATTAAGGCACTATACTGCTTTGAAACATTTTTGTTAGGTTTTTGGCATTTGTGCATACTTTTATATGGATTTTTGTTTGTGTGTCATAGTCTCTAGGGATCAAAAACGAGGTCTCAATTATTGTTTAAGAGTCTCAGGGTAGAGCATCAGATAAGAGAGCCCTTTTCTTTGTAGATCATCCCCAGGGTGGAACGTAATTTCCCTCTGTGAACTGTTCCGCTTGAGAGAAGAACCTTTCCACGTAAGATAATATTATCCACATCCTTGTTTGCAGTGTGGCTTGAACTTTGGTGTATCACATCATTCTCATGTTAACTTTCCTAGTACCCAGAATTTCTGTCTCTCCCTGTTCTGCTGAGTGGCATGGAGGCTGCCCAGCATGGCTTTTTCCCATGTCACAAGCTTGCAGTCATGCCAGAAGAGTTCATGCAGCAAGATTTATATCTTTTTAAAATGTCAGAGTTACTTTATTGTATACCAGTATGGGCAGTTGCTGGGACAGGAATTTCTCCCACACGTCCACAGGCTTTCAGTGTTAACCTAGTGGCCCATGAACCTAACAGTAACATGAAAAAGAGGTCCTATGTAATTCTTTTTGCAGTGCAGTCCTTTACATCAGTGGTTCCCAACCTTTTTTGTTTGTTGATCCACAAGTTCAAATTTACTTGATATGGTGACCCATTATTTTATTGATACATACATTTCAGACCTTAGGACTAAGGCAGCCAATTAGTTTCATGCATTTTAACTGCAAATTTGCCTTTTCTATCCAAGTCAATTAATACCCCCATTAATGTGGGGGCGGGGAGTGTGGTGTTGATACAGTCCCAAGGATCAGAGGTTCCCTACCTCAGGTGTATAGAATTGCAGCCTAATACTGTGACTCCTGTTAATAGGTGTTACAGTAGAGACCCAATCCATTGCTATTTGTTGTGAACTTACTTTTTTTACCTCTGTGCTGTGTTAAGTGATAATTACTAATGAATGAGGTTTTTTTAATTTTAAAAAAATGAACATTGTTTCTAGTATTTTTGTATATGTGGTTTTTTACCTGTAAGCAGCATTTTGGTCAGAAAATTGGATGGAAATACATATAAATGCTAATAATAATGTAAGCTAATAAATAAAGCTGATCTTGATTGTTAGTACTGTATTGGCTTTAGGCTGCTTCCAGCGAGATTTTAGTAATATGCTGCTGATGTCTTATAGCAGGCATAGGCAAACTCAGCCCTCCAGATGTTTTGGGACTACAACTCCCATCATCCCTAGCCAACAGGACCAGTGGTCAGGGATGATGGGAGCTGTAATCCCAAAACATCTGGAGGGCCGAGTTTCCCTATGCCTGACTTATAGGCTGGCTCATTTCTGCTGCTGCCTCCCAGCTGCTCCAGTGTGGAGGCTCAGTTGTGGCTCCTGGTGTTAACTAATGAGGTCACATAGAAGTTGGGGGACCTGGGGGAAGAGAAGGAGAATAAATCTTCTGTGGATTTTTAGGAGGCCTGGAGAGAGTTGGGAATAGAAATCAATTCTCTCTCTGCATGTACATGCAGGAGTGGGACTTGGCCTTACAGTGGGACTATAAGGGAGAAGGGTTGTTACTTAAAAGGACCCAGAGTGGGAAAGAAAAGATGACAGGGATTTTTTTTCCCCTTCTGTGAGGGAATAGAGATGACAACAGCCTGTAGGAGAGCATGGAGCAGGGGGGAAAGAAGACAGAATCCTTCTCTCCACTGGGGAGACAGGCCTGCCATGGGGTGAAAAACTCTTAACAAGATCCCATGACAGTAAAACGGAAAGCTTAGATACTAGAACAAACATTATTGTGCTTATTTTTCCTATTAATTTTCTGGGACCCTTTTGTGTAGTTGCTTCCTGTTGGTCCTGAAAAATCCTTATAAGATTATATTTAGTCCATTTCCCAAATGATGCTCTCTTGTAAGGAGCTTCATTTGAAGAATGGAAGGAAGATTAACACATCCCCAAAAAATTGAACCAGAAAAGCTGTTGTCTTATGTGGAAAATCTATTCAGCAGAGATATTTCAATGGAAGTATCATGTTTTATCCCAAGTGTTTTACACTGCTGAAGCATTCACGCATCCAGAGACTGATACATTGGTTTGAATAACTAATTATGTCCCAAACTCTAAATTATTTCACTGTCCAAACAGTTTATGTGCTCAGTTACCATTAATACTGTGTGGTAATCAAACAAGCCACTGTTCTCAGAGGTTGAGTTGAAGGTAGTGCAGTAGGACTAATACTTTGGGGACTTTGAACATTGGTATTATAAATGTGCACTCTAAAAGCAAAAACTCGTATTTGCAAATTAGACATTATCTTATTTTATTTTTTAGATCCTACCCTTCTTGGCAGTTATAGACCCAAGAATCGAAAAGTAAGTACTGAAAAGGAGGTTGCATAATTAAAGCTGAATGTGATGAGCTGAGTAAAACTATCTTAGCTGAGTGGCTTCCTGCTGTATAATGTTATTTCCTTACTATTGACAATTCTATATTTTGCGTTGTTAAAATATGACAGCCTCACAAATTTTGAGGAAAAATTGACAGCCACAATGAACACGTAAAATCTGAAGCTGCCTAGATTAATCTATCTAGCCAAGTATTGTCAGCTGCAACTTTCCAAGTCCTAACTCAAAGGACTGTCCTCTTATCTTCTCAAGATAAATGTCATTGCATACATTGATTGTTGGACACTGACTTATGCCAGTGTCAGTGACCTCTTTATAAATGAGGATTCTGGTGATGATTCACAACTAAGGCTGCAATCCTAACTCCACTTGTGGGGGACTAAGCCCCAATGAATTCAGTAGGAGTTACTTCTGAGTAGACTTGGTTAGGTTTGCTGCCCAAATGATCTATTAGACACAATCAATTCACCATCATATAGTGGCTCTTAGGACAGCCTAGTGAATAAGCCTGAAAAAATATTTACTCCCTGCTAAGAGGCTTGTCACTTGTGTTTCCATGGTGGCAATGGAGAAGTCCTGTTCTCTATGGCCAGCATGAAAACACAGGTTACTAGCCCTCTAGCAGACTAATAAAAACAAAAACCCCTGTGCCTTCTACCAAGTGGATAAGCACAAAAGTGGTGGACTCATCCTTCCTCCTGCTATCCTGCTGCATTTCCATGCTGGTTTTGGAGAACTGCTCCATCAACTGCAGCTTTTGAAGGTGTCGTGAAAGCTGCTTCCCTCATTTATTGTGAAAATATTGTGTAGTTGGAGGAATTTGGCAGGGATGATTGGAGTAAAGTGAGTATCTGCCTAAACTTCAATCTCCTTGACAGTTGAGTAATTTCTGTGCTCAATTTTAAGGGTCGGTTATCACCTCTAAAGACCTGAGCAGCTTGGACCCAAAATATTTAAGGAACTGTTTCTTCCCATACGTTCTTGTCCTCTGTCCTAGGACAATGGAAGAGGCCATTTTTCTGTGTTCCAGCGCCATCCAAATTTCAGTAGGCAGTAACACAGGCAAGGGGCTTCACTTCCGTAGGGCTATGGAACTTTGGGAGATCCTTCTATCTGGCTTCCTCTCTGATGGATTCCAGCTCAAAATGTTTACATTCTGGCATGCCTGTGGCCTGAGAGGTTTCTGCTTTGTTTTTTCTAAACTGTTTTTATAATGTGTTTATTTTAGATATATGTTGAAGTTAGGCACCTTGAGACAAGCACACTGTTTTAAAATTTATATTCTATCTTGACTTGGGCAATCCTGCCATTCATTGCTTAAATCTCAAAAAAGGATTTTATTTGAAGGCATGTTGTTTCATTTTCATTGCATCTAAATCTTGGTAGAATCTCATTTACTGTGACATTCTACTAAATATGGCCAACACTTTTGTCTTAGGGTTGCATCCAACAGTCATCCCATTAGCACAATTCTGCCTATGCAGTGGAATCTCCCCTCTCTCTTCTATCCCTGCTTGCTCTCAGTCTGTTCAGGAAGGCTTGTTGTGCAGATGTTGTGCACTAATAAGACAAATATGCTGGGAACAACCCCTTACCTTGAAGAAATTAAATAAAACATCCTTCAGGCAGAATTTTCAAAATCTGAAGTGGAAATTTCAGATATGTGGATGACCTGAGAAATGGCATTTAGGATATAAAGGACTGTGATTCCTTGGTTGTAGTGTTCTAGCTATTTCTGCTGCTTCAGAGTTTTAATATACAAAAACAATGTTTTCATTGTACTGCAATACTCAGTACTGTAGTACTCAGGTATAGCCAAGATGTTAAACATACTATGTATCTTTCTTAAAAATTATGCTCCTCTTTTTTTTGTTTCCGGCAGGCTACCAGGTCACATTCTGATAAAGACCTTCATAGTTTTTCTCACAGTTACGATGAACACTTGATTTCGAGTATAGCTGGTAGGCAGCTCCATTCAACTCAACTGCTAATGCATTCAGCACCTCCACAACTGCAGAAGTATTACTCAACTCCTATGTTTAATTGCTTATCTCTTAGAGAAAGGTAATGTCATTTATCCACAAAATCTGAACAAATGTGCTGTCTTCTCAGTGTTACCTGTATTTTTAGTATTTCGGGTGGTTGGTTCTTTTACCGATAGGTTAACAACTTAAGGTTAGTTGGAGTATTGGCACATTTCTGGTATGGTGATAATTAAAATCTTAGGATGAAGTGTCTCTAGCAGTATGCCCGTGTAGTGATATATAAGCCATGCAGCAACTTTGGCTTTAAATATATTAATTTGGCATTCAAGGCAGATATTCCAGAGTTGAGATGCAAAGCAACTGACCCTATTCAAGTACTCCTACTGGTACAGTCCAGCTGGGGAACGCTGTTACCTTCATTTCATAAATGCCTTTAATTCCCATTGTATGTACAGTACTATTCAGTTCAGTGTTGAGGGTTAAAACAGTCAGCCACTTTCAGCAGGTCAATTATATGTCATCTATCACATTCCAAATTTCCCCTCAGCTTCATCAGTGGCTTGCATTTCTGACTGCAAGAGGCTGGTGGGGAAGGTACACCAAGTGGAAATACCTTGACACTGGAAGTTGCATTTGCCTGTTTTGCCTCTCCCACCTTGCAGGTATTTTATTCACTTGAGAACTACTTGAGCTAGGGACATGAGCCAAAGTGCTCTTGTTCTGTGGCTCTTTCCCTGTTGTTGATGCTATGGCACCAAGGTCTGCAGTGTCAGCTACAGTCGTATTAATCCTGACTCCTTGGAGTGGATGGCAATGTGCTCTCTGTATGGAAGTGGTCTGAGTGGCATGGGCACCTTGTTGTGAGCGGGCGGATTCCACTGGATAGTGGAATGCTAGTTTTGTATTTGGTCTCTGGCATTTTGTATTATTGTATTTTTGCTGATGTTGTCTTGGTTGTTTGTAACTGATGAAGTGACATTATGTTACATTGTGGATATTATCTTACATGCAAAACAGATTCTTTAATTTTGTTTATAAAAATTGTCATTTTTTAACCATTCAAAATATTACAATGTGACTTTTTCCGTACATTTTGTCATTCCTATGGTTGTAAAGTGCCTTGGGTACTGTAATGTAGAAAGGTGTTATATAAATTAATCTGAATTGAATTGCTATGATTGTGTTGCAGATGTCTGACACAGACTGCAGAGGAATTGGGAATGGTGGAAGCACTTGGTTCTGTTCCAAAATGGTTTTGCAGAATCTATTCATTTCTCTTTGTCAAAACTCCTGAATGATTGTGAGATTTAAAATAGATTCTGCTATTTATTCTGGACATGTATGCATGTCTGGAGCTTCAGATGTGGCAAGTGAAAGATGACAGTGCTACTTCTTCATCACTCCTGAGGTCTCATGGTGAGTGTTGTGCTTCCTGGGGAAGTGTCTACACTGCCTGCAGTGTGCCTCATGCCAATTTTGGAACAGGCCCAGATCCCACCGCAAAGAGACATATCCTGGAGACATTTTAGAAATGTTTCCATCTCAGCTGGTACCTGAGGTTCTGGCTGAGACTGTGGGTTGGAACATAACTTCTACCAAGAATGGACAACTACCCCCAGCTCACCTGTAAAAATAAAAAATATTCCCCCCCCCAAGCTCTCCACCAGGAACTCCCCCCTCCAAATAAACACATTTAAGAACAAAGCAGGAAGGTAACTAGCAACAGGAAACACTTTTCTCGCATCTCCATTAACTAGAAATGACTTGGAAGCATTGGGGTTTTTTGTCAGGGATGGTGAAACTTGTAGTTTTCTTTGCTTCCCGAACTGAACTAAGAGATGGGAGAAATGACAAACAAAATCCCACATTCCTTGACCTCTGAGTCATTTCCAGTTAAGGAGAGGCTAGAAAGGTCCCTACTGATGAATCTGGATGAATTTGAAATGGGACTAAAAGGAGTCCTGCCTCAAGATTTTCCCACAACAAGCATGCAATGCTCTTCTCTGTTTCGTGCTGATTCTGAATAGCAGCAACTGAGGTGAAGATGTGGCCTTAGAAGACAATAAGAGTCTGAGCTACAAATAAGGCAGTCTGATACAGATATCCATCTTACGTATAGACATCTCAGTAAGCTAGAAAATGGATTCTCTCGGCTACAGATCTCAGTCATTGAGATGGAGCTGTGAGCAGAGTGCCAATGATTTTACGAGGTGATACAGGCATAGAGAGAGGCTTACAGTTTCCTGTCGTTATAGGGGACTGCATATCTTGGGGATTGATTCACCCAGAGTGATGTGACCTTGTCTGTTCTGCAGTTGACAGGCATCAAAAACTGCCTGGCTGGCCTAGAGAAACAGGAAGGTGCAGCTCATCACGAGCAGTTACTCTTGGCCTCTGTAACTTGTCTGATATGGTTCATCAAGACTTGATCTTGTCTGCTGTAGGTCAGAACAATAGATTTCCAAAGTGTTTCTTGAGAAGGTTGGTTATTGTAATGCTCACCACATCATTCTTTGTATGCCAGATGCTCTAACCTACTTCCTTTCATACTCAGACTACTGTGAAATATTTGTCAAAACAGATGGAGTGATTTTACTTGAAATGGCAGTAGGTTTGGCAGCCTCCATTTGTGTTTTTAATGCTTTCCAGAGGTGATCTGTTCATACAACTTTCCAAAAGCTGGTATGGTAGCGCAGGATATCCACAAGCACTTGGGAATCATAGAATCATAGAATCATAGAGTTGGAAGAGACCACAAGGGCCATCGAGTCCAACCCCCTGCCAAGCAGGAAACACCATCAGAGCACTCCTGACATATGGTTGTCAAGCCTCTGCTTAAAGACCTCCAAAGAAGGAGACTCCACCACACTCCTTGGCAGCAAATTCCACTGTCGAACAGCTCTTACTGTCAGGAAGTTCTTCCTAATGTTTAGGTGGAATCTTCTTTCTTGTAGTTTGGATCCATTGCTCCGTGTCCGCTTCTCTGGAGCAGCAGAAAACAACCTTTCTCCCTCCTCTATGTGACATCCTTTTATATATTTGAACATTTTTTCCATCACAGTGTCCATTGTTCTGTGGGCAAGGGGAGACATTGGCTACCTTCCTCCTCACTGGATGTGGTGTGGCAGTGCCTTCTGGATGAGTAGTTTGGTGGGGAGGCCCAGTATCCAAGCCATGAGCAACTCTTTTAAATACAGGTGTTCAGGCTGGTAAACATTTTGTACTTAACTTGGAAAGCTGTAGTGTGCTGTTGATAGGGAGACAGAAAGCTGTAGAAAAGCTTTTCTTTTTAGCAGCACTCTTTCCACTGCACGCCCAACTGCATTTACCTCCAGAAAGAAAATTACAAGCAGTACAAACACATTCCTTTTTCTGGCAAGAATGACCAGGGTGAACCTGAAACAGTATCTGAATCTCTTTGCTTTCTAGGATTATGAAACAAAGTGAAGGATGGGAGGCCCCTGAGCAGGCACAGGGAGTCTTCATTTCCTGTGTTCCCTCCTTAAGCCCAGCCTAATGTGTAAATCAGGCCTAAATTCACTGGGAGGGGGAATCATAAGCGACCTCATTTTATCTAATCTCTGTTTGATTTAATTAATTCTTGTTGCATTGTTTCTGATTTCGTATGGTTTGATATAGCTGTCTTCTATTGGATTATTCCAGGGCTAATTTCTTGGCATCTAAAAGTACTCCTTGTGTACTGAATGACTCTTGCTAGGCCATATTACGTTTAAATTAAATCTGGTTTTGTTAATGAGCATAATTGCATTGGTAAGCTCTCAGAGATTCGCTTTTGCAGTTGTAGTTATCCATGGAGCAATTTCTCCCCTTCTCTCCCCCGCCCTTTCTACAACAGTTGCTTGCTCAGTAGATGTGCATCTGCTACTATAGTACTTTATTGATTTTTACCCTGTGATAGTTTGTCCTTGTATGTTTTTTCCTCCTTCTCCTCTCAGCACAAATCCTCTGCCTTTTGAAACTGATAAATTCTTCATGGAAGCCACAGAAGTGCAATTGCACTTCTTGTTGTGATGCACTATGGCAGGGGGAAAGCACTACATTAAGAGCCACAAATGATTTTTGCAGAATGTGCCTATAATAACTTTGTTGATATGAGATACATTAGTATTCCTTGCTAATAGAGGATTTGAGCATTTATTGCTAGAAATGCTGTCTCTGAAAATACATACCCATTGCAAACTATAGAGTGGTAAGCTTCTATTTAAACAGTCCATGTGAACAAATCTTATTTGTTGTACATCTGAGGTTGCGGTCATATAGGCACTTACCTGCAAGTAAGACTCATTTTGAATTTACTTCAGAGTAGACATGAATAGGATTTCACTTAAATTGTCTACCTTATCCCGATGAATATGTAAAATTTAGATTGGCCACATTGATAAGATTTCTGGATTTGTTCCTTGATTCTTTTTGCTGAAAATACAACTCATTTTTTAAAAGTCCTTATAAAAGAGGGAAAATGCTTTTAGCTACATTACAACAGAAAATAGTTTGTTCTGTTGATTGCTCTCGACATAGCATCTTTGAAATGAATTATGAGTAGTTCTATATTGATCTGGCTTACTCTAGGTCACCGAGCTATATATCCAAAGTGTTTATACAATCTGTTGGAATCGATAAACAATTTAAACTGATGTAACCGCAGAATGTTTGCTAGTCCCGAGGAAAATTGGAAGTATGACAAAGAATACAGTTGTAGAAGTTTATTTGGTTTTGTCAGAGTAAAATAATATGACCATTCTGGCAGCACTGCAAGAAACTACCAACACCTTAATCCCATATGTAAGAAGTTGGTGGTTTTGCACAAGCATTATTTGAGTCTTTATGCTTTAGAAATTCTGTTTATTTATAGTTTTAAGAAATTGCTTTTTGAAAATGAGCTTCAGAGGATAACTCCAGTAGGAGTTGCACATCATAAAATGGTTTCAATTTAGATTATGGGTGTTAAATTTTAGCTTTAGCTTTGTTGTATGGTGAATTTGGGTGGTGTAAATATTAATGTAATGGCTTAAAGTGTGGATTAGGTTTTATAGTTATGTCTAAAATTAGACAATTAAAAAGGAGCTGATACTGTTTTTATTAATACCTAAATTTTTGAATGTAGAAAATTGAGGTGTGTGTGATGAGTGAACATTTCTTATGCCACAGCGCACACTAGTGGATTATTTTGTCATTTCACTAAAGAAATGTCCATAGGGATTTACAGGGGGTTTTTTGTTTTAAAGGGCGATATTAGTCCTCACTTTGTCCCTCTCAGGGTTAATATTGTGACAATTACAGGAAGCTTCAGTTTGTGACAAATACAGTGCATCAGATAATTGGAAAATGAAGCACAATTGGCTTCAAAGTCGTGTTGAAATCATGCTTCGTAACCATGTTTAGCATTGTGCTGTACATCTCTTTGCCCCCTCATTTAGTAAACATCAATACTTATAGATATTTTCTTTTTTGAATATTTTAGAAATTTAGCTAATGAATATGCAGAAATCAATATTTGCTTAATATATTCCTCTAACGTAGCATATATTGCAGAATATATGCTATACGTTACTGGAATTAACAGTAAATTTTACACTTGATAAAATGAGGCCATCATAAGTGAGAACCATTTGACTTTGTAGCCATTTTTAAACATCAAACGGTGCCCATAACTTAAAATCTTCCCTTTTTCTCTTTTGATTATAGGTTTCGTTCTGGCTGGAGTGCAACAGTAAATGGAGAAGAGATCCATAAACGAGTGAGAAATATTTTAAGGACTCACAGTGCAAGGCAAAGGCTAACTTTTGTACGTTTTCCTCTAAAGTGTTATGGAGAAAATACCCACCCACCCCCGCTTTTTTAAAAAATGTTTCCTTTCATTAGTACATGGGGAGAACTCAAAAATAGGAATTTTATAACATATATGAACAATTTTTGCCATTGAACATTGTATCTGTCATGGAACTATTCTATTCATGACATTATGTCTTTATGTACAAATTGCTTTGTGAAACCCATTGTATCTTTGGGTCCTCAGCAGGATCACATGGTGACCTCTGGCCACCCATTTGCAGATGCTCCCTTTTCTTCCTTACCTTTCTGTTTTCTTGTTCCCATCCCTTCCTCACATGTCAATGGAAGAGCCAGTAGTTTGCTTACCTTACGCTGCATTGCCACTGTTTTCATGTCTCTGATGGCTGTTAAGTGTTCGTTTTGATCAAGATTTAATTTTTTAAATAAAATAAAAATACATATAATTGTGTTTCTTTTTTTAAAGGACTACATTTTTCAGTCACATGAGATTATCATCTTTGTATTGATTCCTTAGGATGAGAGTTGTTTGTCAAAAGATGATTCTGCTAAGTCAAGAGACTCTAGTAAGACAGAAGATTCCAATAAGAAGAAAGACATTTCAGACAGAGACCGTTTAAGCCACAGTGATCTTCAGAGCAGGTAAAGCTCCTATTCCTATTATACCCCCTTGTCCTAGCCCACACTTAGCTTTTCCATTCACTGCTGTCACTGCAATTGTTACCAAAATACTCCTTATCTATGCCTGTTGCAGTTGGAATAAATTATACAAGTGAACTAGACTTGTATAACTTTCTAAACAATCCATGCACAGACTTGGTTTACACTTGAAACACAGCCCACCATAACCTTAGGCACTCTTAAGTTTATTGATTTAATCTGCCGCTATTCTCTTCCTTTTCATGTTGCCAGAATAATATGAGAAGCCAGGGCTGCTTCTCTTACTATCCTGTCAACACCTCCCCTGCCTCTCATACTCTAAGCCTCGTCTTGTCAGCTGATGCAAGCAAAGCTATGTGCATATGTCTGGTGATAGTTTGGGACACGGGGATCATTTTGGGACCTACAGGCATGAATAAAGAATCTGCAACAACTACTGCCTGCCACAGCATTAGCGAAAACGATGGACTTTGAAATGTCATATGCAAGTAGGGTCTGGGCATTGATGGGTTCATCACATTCTGTAGAGCAGTCATGAGAGTTGGGGATAAAGAAAGGGACTCAAGGACATTCTGACAGCTTGAAGTCTGCCAGCATCCTCATAAATAACCGTACCAAGGCAGAGTTCAGAGGAGAATGTAGTTTTGCTGACCAAATGTTCACACTAAAGTAAATGATTGAAAACCATTGGGACTGCACAGAAGGTCCGTGATGCTGAAATATTTAAAGTGCAAGTGACTTTGAAAGGAACTTGTGGGACTCTAAAGGAGATGGAACAAAAGCATGTGACAGGTATATGACAGGTATTTCCGAAAGTGGAGCTGAGTGCAGCTACCCTGCTCTTAATATGATTTGTGCATGTAATCCCCAGATCACTTCAGCTCAGCTTGTCAGGATAGTTTCCAGTTAAGGCAGCAGACTGACGTTTTTCTAACATGGATGTAGCTATGTCCATTCCACTGTTGAATTTCTTATGAGGAAGGGATGACTAATGGCCATGCACCAAAAGTGAGCACACTCAAAAAGTGTGACATTGTCAGTATGTTGACGTGGAAATCACAGGAAGTGCTGCCGCTTTTCATGAGCATATATCAGACTGTCATGATGACTGTGGTTCTAGGTGAAAAAGTATGGATTTTATGGAACCAGAGTTATGGGTGCTATTCCTCATACTGTGCTCCTGCTCTGCCTTCATTCACTGCATTTTACCTTACTAATAAGTAGTACATGGTCAGCTGGGCTTCAAATATAAGGCTAAAGCCAGCGAGTTTTATCATGGTCTTCTTTAAAAGGACCATTACATGGCTATATAGCACTGATAAACAGTTCCTTTTTCTCATCCACTTTAGCATCCACGAAATATGTATATATATGTGTGTGTGTTTTATTTATGGTATTAATATACCTTAAATAGGTGGACCTCACATAAGATTATTGGCACAATAAGCAATAATTAAAAGGTTACAATAAAATAGACAATACAACAGTTTAGAAGCAGCTGTATCGGCTTCTTCTCTGCTCCCCTCAGGGCAAAATGAAACTAATCTGCTGGTCAATTCAGTTGTCTCTCATCTAAAGGATAAATCATATGCTGCCTGCTGTGATGCAAGTTATCACCTACATTTTAAAATTATCTGCATTCAGCCTGACTTAAGTTCTGAGCTGCTTCTTAGATTGGAGGTCAGGACAGAATTATGGAAAACTTGGTATTTGAATCAAGCAGTGGGTCTTGCACTCAAATGCTGACAAGGTGCTTAGGGCACAATCAACTCACAAGCAGGTATGATATTTATCTTGACCAGTGAAAGCCATCCAGGAGATGCTGACTCATCTACTAGTTGAAATGACCAGTATCTCTTTTTATGATAAAAGTGTAGAAAACTGTGACTTGGGAGCCACTATTCGTATGGTAGCATTCCATACTATTAGGGTAGGTGACTATAGCAGGCATGTGGCTAGGGTCTATTAGAGTGCTTGTTGTGGAAGACCAATATAATCGGCCCTGTCCAAATAGTAACTTAATTCAGTGGTGCAGAAAAGGCTCAGAAGCCACCAGGTGCGTGTTGGAGACTGGGTAGATCAAAACCTATAAAAATAATCTTGGGCTCATAGATGCCGAGGTGATTGACAAAGTGACTGTATCAGAAACTAATCAAGTGAATACAAACATATCTGCACATAGAAAGAAATGACACTGAACAGTCACTTTCCATATTTATGAAACTATAGAAGGATCCAGTATATTTCTGAGGTGAGACATCTGTAGAATATACTCAGAAAGTGCAGTCAGGACAGGTTTTCTTTAATACTGTCTATTTTGAAAATAGCTGTGTAAACAAACCTTGTAGGCTTCACTCAAGTGCCTATGCTACTTAAAGAGTAATCAAATAATAAATGTCCTTCACTCTTTTCCTTTTTCAAAAGATCACATTTTAATAGATGTATGTTTGGGGTTTTTTTGGGTAATGCTAGTTCATCTATACGGCAGAGCATCATGGTTCAACTGGATGATGATGACTATTGGACTAGTCAAGCTGCAGAATATAAAAGCAAACCCCACAGAGCAATATTTGAAGACAGTCTACAGAAAATCTATCGAAATATGTACCGAAAAGCTTCTGGATCAAAATCAAAGAATAAATAAATTCCTGATAGAGATGCAGGTGAAAATGAACAGTATAAAAGATCAATATTTTTAATGAAAATGTTGTGTGTCTAACAAATGTCTCTCTCTCTCTCTCTCTCTGTCTCTGTTTTTATATGAGTTTGTGAAATTCTGAGGCTGGGACTCTCAACAGGAAAATAAATAAAATCTGGAGGGTTTTAAGTAGGGTACATTGTTTGTTTATGGGATTTATAGGCATGTTAGTAGTTTTGGCTCCCCATTTCTAAAGCATCTGGCTTCCAATTGAATTAGGATAAATCGCACACATCTTCACTACATCGCTGTCCATGTAGGTATGTGTCTTGCCTAGAGCACTAATAGAGGCACATGTGGGAACAGTTGTTCTATGGTTGCAATGTGTTTCCATTACTGTGCTACTGAAAAGTATCTGTTGGGCTCTTTTTCAGGGGTGTTATATCATTCAGCATGTCACCGAAAATCTGTGGATCTTGCAAGGGTCTCTGGGCAAGTGGTGGGGAAGCCATGGACCTTTGTGTACTGGATGATTGTGTAAGTTCACTGTTGTGAATAGTGAGGAACAGAGATTGCATTCATTATCAATACAAGCAGCTAATAATAATGATAATGCCTACTTGGAATAACCACCACCACCTACAGGACATATGAGAGTTGGGGATGAGGGAGAGTGAACATAAGAAGCCTAATACAGTATTCAGAATTGTTTTATATTATAAGACCTGAAATATTGTCATATGAACAATAGACCTTCCATATTTTGTTGTAAAAATCATGTGGTTTTTGTGTGTGTTTTTGTCTGCGAAATTGTTGTTATTGTTGTTGTCAGGCATGGGTGAAGTAAGCCAACTGTGGCAGTCTTCTGCACACTGATGGACTACATCTTCCTCCTTTCTCTCTGCTATTTTTTAATCATTATGCTTCTATTTGTAATCCTCTTTTAGCTTAATTACGTCAGCAGTATATCACTTCCCTTATATTTGCTCCCAATCACCCTTAATCAAACAGGACCCAGTGTCCTTTCAGACTGCATCAGAGATATATCAGTGCATTGTTGGATATGAAAAAGAGCAAGGCGTCCAGCACATCAGCTAGTGCACCCACCCAAATGCAAACATTATGAATGTTCTGCACCTCAAACTGATCAAATTTGGAGTCTGTTCTTACAGGCTCAAGGGATGTATTGGCAGAGCGGCATTGGCAGAGCGGGCATCTCTCTTCTAAAGGCCACCAAATGTTCACCAGCAGTTTTGAAACATCCCCTGAGAAGAAACCTTTCCAGCCTTCCACTGAGTATATCCCATGCTAACAAATAAGGGCAGGCTGCCTGCTCTTTAGGCATTCAGAAATTTATAGAGGCAGGGGTGTTTGGCTTCTGCTTCTTTTCAGAAAGGAAAGAAGTAAACATACTTCTTTTGGAATACTTATATCATTAGAGCATAGAAATAATAGATGCCCAAAGGTGGTTTCAGATGTATCTGAAAACAGTGTGAGGGGTACGCAATGCACAAGATTACCGCCTGCCTATCTCCATTTTATATTGTGTCTTTCAGAAAGTCCCCTATCTCTGCCAGCTCTGTACAGACATCTACATTTTGTCAGATGTCGATTTATTTATTTAAAGCATGGGCAGGTAACTTACAGGCCTGAAAGTGTTGTTGGATTGCAACTCTCATCATTCTTGACCATTGGCCAGCCAGCGGAGGCTGATGGGACTTGGGAGTCCAACCCTTTAGAAGTATTTTTATACCACCCCTCAGCAAACCTGACAGGATGCAGGTAGTGGAAATCACAGGGCACTATTATTATTTATTTTCCAAATCTTCTATAGAGCTCAACATAAGAATACGTGGTGCCAGACTGACATCAGCTTTGGTGCCAGGCAAGCCTTCCTGGAGATGGCATTCCATAAGCGGAATGCCACAACTCAGAAGGGCCCTCTCTGGTCATCACTCATCTCATGCTGGATGGTGGTGGGACCCAGAGAGGTACCTAAAATAACAAATGCAGTATTGAAGCAGGATCCTGTGTTAGAAGGTGGTCTTTCAGTTATCCAGATCTGAAGTCATTTACGTAGGTACCATCACTTTGAATTGTTCCTGCAGATGGACCAGGAGATAGTGTAGTGGACACAGAAAAGTTGTAATTCCAGCATATGGATGAATTTACAGAAAGGGGGATGAAACCCAGCAAAACATTATAGCCAACAATTACTTATGACCCATACAGGTCATGTAGTGTACTTTTGGAATGGCGGGTTGGGATGCATATGAGCCACCCAGAGTGGCTGGGGAAACCCAGCCAGATGGGTGGGGAATAAATGATAAAATTATTATTAAAATTATGTGAACAGAAAAGCCCTGAGTGTCAAATTAGACAAATTAATGCCAAGAGGTTGGAAGGTATCATGAGTACCTTGTTTGGTGGCTTGCCCCCTCTGTATAACCCTTTAATTCTTTGCCTTTTGCTTTCAGGCCTGTTGAGCATGGTGGTCTTCCCTTAGTATGAGGTGTAACTAGAGCTGAGATGAGAGTGAGTTATTGGTATCACAGGGTGTTGATTTCCCTGTAGCAAGGCAAAGCTGTGGCTTTTCACCTATGCAATTGAAGCATTGGAGAGCTAGCGCTGTCTAATACCTTTTCCCTCCTCTTTGGCTTTTACACAACTCCTCCTCCACACCAGCAAAGCAATTCAGAATTTAAGCAGAATGACTTACACACAGAGGTGTAGGACATTATTAAAGAACAGGCATAGGCAAACTCGGCCCTCCAGATGTTTTGGGACTACAACGCCGATGATCCCTAGCTAACAGGCCCAGTGATCAGGGATGATGGGAGTTGTAGTCCCAAAACATCTGGAGGGCCGAGTTTTCCTATGCCTGTTATAGAATACTGCTACAGCACAATCCTATTCCTAGAGATATTTACTCAGAAGTAAGCCCTAATGTGTCGAATGGGGCTTACTCTCTAGTAAGTGTATTTAGAATTGCAGCCTTTGAGTGGTCATTTACATCAATAGTGCAAACCCATGTGTGGTCTATTTCAGACCTAAGTCCCACTTAATTCAATGGTACTCGCTCTCTGGTCACTCTTTTTCCAGTAGTTCCCTAAGAATCACTTTGCGCAATAGGTTGAGTTCCTAGTGATAGATGTCAAGACAAAAGAGGAGCATCACCAAACATCCAGGAATAGATCTTTCCCCTTGTATTTTTATCACTGCAGGAGCTGATGGAACACTTGGACTGTTTCACAATTTTGGGGTGAGGTTGCACCTGTTTCTGCCCATAATATTTGGCCCCACAAATATCCCTTTTTATCCTAAATGCCTCACTTTTCTGCTTCACCTGTCTCTGCCTACAAGCCCTGGGCATGTTAATTATATAATTCTAAAAGTTGTAGAAGAATACAGTCTGTTGAATGTTAATGATTATTTGAGATATGAAAAGCAGGTAGAAATTCCTCATCCTTACCCATGTATAATCCCCAAATCACTTTCTGTGGTTGGCTAACCTTCTGTTAGCTGGCAAACAGCAGTGTGCATAGGGCAGACTCTGTCTCCTCTTTGACTTGCAGGGTGTGATAAGTAACATTTCAGGCAATGAACCAACATAGCAATAAACAGTAATTGTTTAGTGCACCTTGCCTTCTAATACAATTTAAATCCCTTCTATCAAATGCAAATGTCTAAGTTCCCAAGCAGTGCTTTAAATAACATTTTTCTGTGCTTGTTCCTTATCTTTTGTCATCCACAAAGTGGTGTGTTGGTGGCATGAGATGGCACAATTCCACCAGCTTCATTTTGCATCTTAAAAAGAGCTGTCTACTCAAGTGCAGAAAAAAACTGGTTCAATGAAGAGCGAGCTGGAATTTAGAGAAGAAATCTTTTCTTTCCAAAATAAATAAGTAGTGTTGCAGCATGCGAAAATTCCTGCCAGGCATGGTATTTTCTGCAAACAATATAAAAATGTAATCAGCATAAAGCAGCAATTCCTTATATTGAAAAAGTGTTGACAGTGTGCTCCGTGAGCTCAGAAATCGAAAGGAATGTAAAAGGAATCCCAAATGCTTTGTGGATTTAAGTATCTTAAAATTTCTAAACACGTGTGGTGTGCAGTGATGAACAAGTTAGCCACTTTCGATGCAGTTTTCATATAAGAGCAACAGAGGATGGATGGAGAGAACAATTTACCAAATGGAAATTTAGCATTATAGTATGGAATCATAATATCCCTTCAAATCACAAGATCTTTATCACAGATGAACACCAAATCACAGCAACAAAATAATGGTGAAATTCTCAATGGCTAGTTTAAGATATGGTGGCTGAAGTCACCCTGAGTGGTTAATTCCTTGGGTAGAAGCTTCTAGTGATCAGCAGTGAGATATGCCCAAATATTGGCATATTAATTGTATTGCAAGGATCTGTTGTTTTCATAGGAACCAATCCTTAGGGGCCATGGGGGCTTCGGCCCCCACAAAAAAATATTTATGGGCATTCCCATTCAAATAGTGTATATGCACTGTGCCATGTGGTTGATTATGCAGGGTGGGGCTTACCTGGACCCCTGCAATCTTTTATTCAATTTGGCACCTCTGGTTGTTTTATCCAGCCAATCCGGATTTAGCTCAGCCCGTTTGGAAATTGGGTTTGTATTGGGTTCATTTTGAAAATAATTTTTAAAATGCCATGGGATTTCCCAAAATGCATGGAGATTTGGTATAGTCTGAAACTTCTATATGCTGATCCAAAAATCCATGTGTGGTTGGACAGCTGCAAATCTGTCAGATGAGGGTGCTTCCTATTCATTTCAGTGGAGGACTCTGGTCCAGACACATGGAAATGCAAGATGAAGTTGTAGCAGAAAGGGGGCACTGAGTTAAATCACATTCCCTCATCTGGAACAAACTGGCTGGATTAGTGCAATACGGGTTTCACTATTCACACAACGTTACCCATTTGGAATATTCCTGATGAATCAAGGGTTCTAGATGCTTCAGATCTTATATGGTTTTGTTTTGTTCTTTGTACATAGAAGTGAATTTTGTAGGTATGAAGTTATGCTGCAGTGTGAGCTTTTAACCTGTAAAGTATTCCTTCTATTTGTGTTGTTAGAACCCTGTGGATCAAACCTTGTGCCTTCTTACCACACAGTGATACAGAAATGAATGTTTGTGAACCTTTGACAGATTTTGTCATAAACGTGATTTATCATTGTGTTAAAAACATGCACCTCTTTTTAAGAAGCCCAACATCTAAAAAAAAAGAAAAAAGACTTTGCTGTAGCCTTCCTGGTTTACTGGTTTTTAATCATGTAGCTGTCAGAAATAAACAACCACTGTTCTTTGTGTGATGGAGCCTAATGTTAAAGCTGTCAGAGTCCACTGAGAGAGTGCAAGTGTAATATTTATGTCTATAGGGCCTGCCATTCATGCTGTTCTCAACTTTCACTGATTTAGGGCTCAGCTGGTGTAAACTGGGTCTTGTTTCTGCACATCTGAAGTCAGTGAGGGCTTTTAAAATGACTTTTTGATGTGCAAAATGACACTGTAATGGCTTCCACTCAGTCGCTGTGTGTTTCTAATCTTTCAAAGGTATACCTGTTCCACCATGTTCAAGATTTTTTTCCTTGAGTATTGGAATAATTGGTGGTATTTTAAGATAGTGAACTGTGCTGAAATAAAGCTGCTTACAAAGCTAAATATGTCACAGTTAATAATAAAACTACTTTGTTATTGTGTAGATCCCCCATTTTAGTGGGCCTTCTGAGGGAGAATTTCTCTGAATTGTGCCTTGCTCTTCTCCAGAATCCTTTGCCATATATTCACTTATCTTCTGCACATAAAACCTGGTTGAGTTACAGATGGGAAGAAATTCAGCTTTGCTCATCCTAATTGATATTGAGTGGTTTTTCATTCCTTGGAGGCAGAAACAAATACATACCAGAGTCTGAAATCTGATAAATTTATACCTTGGTAACTTGTGATTGTGTGAAAAAATATTCCAGCGTGAAGTGTCTTTTGATAATTACTGTATTCATGTAATATATATTTGGTCTGTATAAAAATATAATTTCCTATGTATACTGTACTAACAATATATACAGTGGTACCTCCTGTTGCAGACGGGATCCGTTCTGGAGGTCCGGCCGGATCCCAAGGTTTTCACAACCGGAGAGACCGCTTCCACGCACATGGCGGTAGAGCGCTTCTGTGCATGCACAGAAGTTGTCTACCGCTTCTGCACTGCGCGCTGGGTAAAAAGCCGGAAATACACTTCTGGGTTTGCCGCTTGCGTATCCTGAAGTTTACGTAACTGGAGGGATACGTAAGCGGAGGTACAACTGTATTGGCCTTGGTCTTGAGTGAGCTAGACTTTTAAAATATTGATTGGTTCTCTTTAAATCTGATGACCAGGTTCAGTTGCTTACTTGCTTTTTCTGGCTCAAGAATAATGTATCATAGTGGCCATGATAATTGCTAGAACATCTGATGATATGCTAGCAAACATTTAAAATATGGATAGTTAAAGACTATCACAATTTTGGGGAGTCCCTGCATTTCTGAGTGACTTACCTGACGTATGTTAAAGCAATGTGGTGCTCCTCTAGCAATTGTAAATGCATTAGACAGCTGTGAAGTTGTTAGAATGTTTTTGTACTGCAAGCAACAAAAGGTGTTTTTTTAAATAATGTTAGGAAGGAAAAAGGTTTTTGTTAAGGTAGGAAGGAAAAGTTATGCAGAACTCTTAAAATGCCTTAGACATTAATTACTTGAGCATTGACTTTCAGTTAATGGAGACAAAAGTGTGAAGTCCTCTCCTAAAGCACAAAGACGCTGAAATCTTACCTAGTAACAGAAGTGGGGAGAGGTTTAGGCTATTCATCACAATAAATAAATGAGCCAAAGATTCCCAAGTTTCCTTTTATTAGTTCTTTCAGTTTGAAACTTACATGGTCTGCTTGTACTGATGGTTTGAGTTTAACTTTGCACAGCTCCTACTGGAAGAGAAAATTAGGCATGCACATTCTATTATATTCTGGAGAGGTAGGAAAGCAGCACTCTTGTTAAGTGCTAGGAAGATTTTTACTGGAACACTGTTAAGAAGCTGGAACTTTGAGCATGGGATGCGAACCTCAGGCCCTGGGTCAAATGCAGCTCTTGAAGCCTCTCTATCAGGCTCTCGGGACCCTGCCCCAGGCTACTGACCAACTTTATACTGTGCTGTCCTTGAACACTTTTGCTAGGCTGGAATGTGTCCTTGAACTGTGCCCTTGCTTGTCTTAATGGAGGATGGATGTGTGTTGTGTGTGAAACCTCAGGTATTCATGTGGCAGGAATGTAGCCTAATATGCAAAGGTAAGTGTTAGATCAATTTCTCCACCAACTTTTGCCATTGGTATCCAACCCTGAAAAGGTTGCCCATGAAGGAATGTAAACTGCAGGCTGATTTTATTTCCTCACTCCTGATTCTAAACACTGGCATATTGTCTTGTTTCCATTTCTCCCCTTAGTCAACCTTGGTTTTTTTCTGTGGTGCACCAAGACTCTTGGTTTGAAATCCCCTTTTCCAGCTGCCATGCACTTTTCTTTGACCCTCTCATTGTCAGATGTTGAAAGAGCAGTATGGGGCTGTTTGCAAAAGGACTTTCAAACAAACCACGCTGTGCTTTGAAACCCCAACAATTGTGGCTTCAAAGCATAGCATCATCTGATGTCATTTTGCTGGCAGGTGACTGCCCACCAATCGAATTTGGCTTGGCAGGATTGGGGAAATAAATGCTAAGGCAGTTCACAGTCTGAGAATTGACTTACATAGTTCCAATTTAGTACAGTGGAAATTGTTAAATTACATTTTCTGATCTGGGATTGGCCTGATATAAAATAATAGAGTGGGGGTTTATGACGCAGGAATTTGGTTTCTATCAGGTGGTACCTGTTTCAGCCTTGTAGCAGTTGTGTAATTAACAGTCCCTATTGCCCCTTTTTGGAGGCATTTCACCCTTGTTTTTTCTTCTTGTTGTTTTTTAAAAGATCTATACCCATTGATCTAAAAATAGTTTATTTTTTAAAGAAACCCAACAAAATCAGTCAGATTGGTAGTTTGAAATTGTGTGTGTGATTCCCCAACAGATACAGGTTGTTTCATCCATGTACCTTCTTTATGTAATAATTACTTATTCCACAAAGGGAGCTGGAGAGGCTGTTACCAGCTAGACACCCCAGTGGTTGCTCATTAGATTGGAAGTTTTGGGAATGCCATGACTTTTGTAAGATGTCTAGATACCCATAACCTTTTGTGACGTGCGTTTTTTGACCCTACGTCTTGGACTATTACTCCTGAGCTCCCTTAAAGCTCCATCCTTGCTTGTTACGTTTTTTTCACACTTTACTTTTTGTGCAGATTGCTATCCAGAAAGAATCATATTTGGTGTTTGTACCTCAGGAATCATGAATTTTAGGTTGCAACAGTAGCGTTCTTTCCATATACATCACTCTTAAGGAAACAGGTAAATATACCAATTTCACTGAGGTTGAGAATAAGTTTCTAGATAGTATCAAACAAGAAATTAAACTGAATTGGTTCAGTGTTAATATTGAAGGTTCTGTATTTTTACAGTTCTGAACTCAGTCTTCATAGGCAGATATATTTTAATTTGTCAGCTGCCATTTTAATCTGTGTGGCATAAAATTAATACAGGGCAGTTGTGAGTTGGCCCTCTCCTGGGGTGGGGAAAGACTTCAGCAGGATGAAAGTATTCAAAGGCTGCAATTGTGTGAACTGGCTTTCTCCACTCTCCAGCAGTAAACATTTGACAGAAGGTTGCTTTCCTTGCCTGCCTTGTTTTCTGCACAATCATCTAGTGTTTACATACATCTTAGCCTCTGTGGCATTTTTGAAGACTTTATTTGTCTCATTTACTTTTTTGGTGCGGATAATACTTAAAATACGAAATCCATCTGTGAAGCATATTGCCTAGTCACGTTGAAGGGTGAAACCAGTTTTTAATTAAAATTTTATGCAGCACTTGTATTTCACTTTGTCCTTTTCTATTATGAAACACTTCAATCTTTTCCCTAAAACACATATGTCTTGTGTGCTTCAAGATGTTCCTCGCTGCTCATGCAGAACTGGTTTCTTAGCTCTGTCAGCAGAGCACCATATGCTCGGGGTTCATTTAGCTTCTCTCCCTGGCATTTGTGTAGGCAGTATCTTGGCTGCAATGCAACTCGACTGTACTGTACCCCATTCTTCTATTTTGGGAAACTTGTCAGAAGATAAAATAGCAAAGAAACACAAAAACTGCTGGAGGATGCTCCAGGGTCTTGCATTCTAAGTAATCTAAGATAATTTGGCCAATCAAGGCAGGGGCTTAGCATACACACGAGAGTTGCTTTCTTAATTATGCCTTGTGCTTAGTGTATAAAAGTGAATGAATGTTCTATTGTTAACACCAGAAATAAGGGCTGGAGATTAAGATACTATTTGGAAAGTTGCATGGATTCTAAATTGCTGTGCTGCTCTATATACCTTGATGAGATTTAAACAGAGAAGATAGCAGATGTCTTTTGTCTTCGTGAAAGTTAAAAGTTTCCCTTGCTGAAATTTTCACCATTGGAGGCAGTTTATTTATCATCATGGCTTTGATCATGTTCCATCTGCTGATTAAAAATCCTTTCCTAAACAAAGCCGTTGAAAGGACAGCATAGCCATTGGTGCAGGAATGAAACCACCACTCAGCACCACTAATTTTGGAGACTGAATGCTATGTTTCAGTGCTTCTAATCCACAGCCCTTTTACCTCGGGTGTTCCCAATGATGCTCATCTTTGTTAGTCCACATGGCTGAGAAAGCTTCAAGGCCTTTGGAAGCCATACACTAAAAAACCCCAAGATCTGCCTTTCTAGGGTTCTTCCTTTGCTACATATTGAGCACTACAGTAACCATCAAGAAAAATGTGGGATATCTGGATGAGCTTTTAGAAGGCCTGGAATATGGTATACTCATGTTGCATTCTGCTTTGGCTACCTTTGGTCTCCTCCCAGAGATGCTGGTAATGGTGGCCCATTTGGCCTCTTCCAGTGCAGACTCTGAGATCTCAAGATGTGCATACACTGCATAAAAGCACGATGCAGAGCTAATACTGCCTAAACACATTCCCATTCCACTGAATTTGGAGGATCAAATAGCAAGGCACTTAAACGTGTGGCTCACTGCAAATGAATGTCAGAAGGCAACTAGAAAAACAGAGCTTTTAAGTTAAAAGCTGAGTTTCTGCCACCTCCCTTTTCTCGATATTAAACAAAGCTTCAGTTCACTCTCTCTCGAATAAGCTTAAAAGTTCTCCAAACTTTTTAGCCCTGCAGACGCTAAGAAATTATAACAGTAATCTGTTTTATGCCTGTCTGTAAATCTTCAGAGATGATGGCTGTAGGATAACAAAAAAACTAAAATGGTGGTTTGCTGGCGCTTCCAACACAGTGCTTCTGTCCCCATCAGTTGTAAACGGTTGCACCAACAGAAACGATTACAAGTCCCATGTGTAAGTGATCAGGACTCATTGCTGAAGGTTCCCTTACAACTCCCATTTTAAGCAACAAAAAGGCGTAACAGTAGTTACGTTATTCCAAAGAAGTGGCTTGAGTTTCCATTAATTTGCTAACAAGGGAGCTCCACCAATTCACAGCAAAAACTGGAATAAAATATCTTGAGATATTTCTAGCGGTATTTTTCTCCACATTCAAGCTGTAATTTTTAAAAGAAAGTTGTCTTTGTTTCTTCTCATTTCCTGTGCCTCTAGATAGCAAAGGATAAGCCTTCCTCCTTTCTGTACTTTTGAAAAATTAATAAACATCTATTAAACATACTCTTCTAAAAAGTGTTGGAGACATAACTTCCCTTTCCCACACCACTGTTAAGTCTCTGTGCAATTACATGACTTTAGCTAGTGAGTCTCTCTTTGAAAAAAAGTGCAGCTTTGGGCAATATATTTGCTTAGCAAGTTGATTTGCTGCAGGTCTCAGCACTGCAGAAAATTATGTGGTTTATTTGTATGAAGAGTAGAATATCTTCAGAAGCCTCTAAAGAGTACTGCAATTGTTTGTACTTTTACATGCAGAATATTATTATCATCATTAGATTTATTACCTGCCCATCACTAGAAGATCCCAGGGCAGTTACAGCAATATAAACAGTTTAATTTTTTTTAATTGGTGTGGGTTGTTTTGTGCTTTCTCTTATGCCCTCTGTGTAAAAAGCCCCAACATCTCTGAAGTCTGCTTGCTACTTCAGTGGTAACACATGTGTAGGGTAGCTTTTTCCCGACTGAGTTTTAAACCCAGTCTTATCATTGTGATAAGATGAATGACCCAGTGGACAATGAAGTCTTGCCCAGTTACAATACAAAATGGCTTGAACTGAACCCACAGGCAACAGAGAAAGAGTGAAAAATGCTTTTGCCTCTGTTGATGAGGAAGCACCTCTTGGAATAAATTCCATTGGCAGCTATCATACACATTCTTCAGCACCTCCTTGCTTAAATGCAGACTATGGTAGATGGGAATCACCATCTCACCAGGGACCATCTTTTCGCTTGTACAGAGGTCGATTTTCTCTTCTTCTGGACAATGAGAACTCTAGCGTAACAGTTTCAGTGTGGCCGATACTTAAGGACAGTGCTGCCTGCCCCACCGCATTGTGCTAAACTGTTTCAGCAGCACTGAGTTACTGAAATGTGACTGCCTCGGTCCCACTAGTGCTTCCATTGCTCTTCAAAAGCTACGTAGCATTTTGTCACCTCTCAGTTCACTCAGTAATATCGCTCATGTTAGCAGACCACTTGTGGGAACTGCCCTTTAAACAACAGTGAGAGATTCTGCCACTCACTTCCAGCTCCTTAGCTGTGCCAAACTGAGAAGACGACACTTCTGCACTTGAGAATTCTTGCCTTAGCAGAGTGCCACACTTTCCAAAACAAGGATGGCAGCTGTGTGTAAAACGTAACGGTAAAGGACCCCTGGACAGTTAAGTCCAGTCAAAGGCAACCACGGGGTGTGGCACTCATCTTACTTCAGGCTGAGGGAGAGGGCTTTGGCCACAGACAGCTTTCTGGGTGATGTGGCCAGCATGACTAAACCGCTTCTGGCACAATGGAACACCATGACGGAAGCCAGAGCACACAGAAACGCCGTTTACCTTCCCGCCACAGAGATACCTATTTATCTGATTGCACTGGTGTGCTTTCGAACTGCTAGGTTGGCAGGAGGTGGGACAGAGCAATGGGAGCTCACCCCGTTGGGTGGATTTGAACTGCCAACCTTCTGATCGGCAAGCCAAAGAGGCTCAAGTGGTTTGGACCACAGTGCCACCCACATCCCCTTTCGGCTGCATGTACACTGGTGTTACCACCACAAAGTGTGTAAGATGAAAATATGTACATTTTTGAGCACCCATACAGGTTTCACAAACCTGAGTGGGCCAGGGTTCCTAGGTACATGGTTGTGTGACATCACCTGACATGAGGTGGTGGTGTAGCACTGCCACACACACACACCAGTTGTATTTGCATAGCAAAGGAACTGTTCTTACAAAAGAGTTTTTCAACTATTTTATGAAAACTACTGCTGTATACTATTTAGTGCTTGCTAACATTGTAAGAAAACCACCGGTATGAAGTTTACGGCATGTAATGCCTTAAAAGAGAATTTAATGAAAATGATTTACAGGTGGTACATAACACCAGTCAAGCTTGCAAAAATTTATCATTTGTCCGATAATAAATGTTGGAAATGTAATGAAACTGAAGGCACATTCTTTCACCTTTGGTGGACATGCCCAAGGATTAAGGCATTCTGAGAGATGATTTATAATGAAATGAAAAAGGTATTTAAATACACCTTTCTAAAGAAACCAGAGGCCTTTCTCCTGGACATGGTAGGCCAATTGGTGCCAAAGAAGGACAGAACTTTTTTCATGTATGCCACAACAGCAGCAAGAATACTTATTGCAAAGCACTGGAAGACACAAGATCTACCTACCAAGGAAGAATGGCAGATGAAGCTGATGGATTACATGGAACTGGCGGAAATGACTGGCAGAATCCGAGACCAGGGAGAAGAGTCGGTGGAAGAAGACTGGAAAAAATTTAAAGTATATTTACAGAAACATTTTCTTTTTTGTTCTTTTTTCTTCTCTTTTTTCCTCCTATTTTTTTTAAAGGTGTTTTTTCTTTTTTTTCTTTTTTTTAATGTTATGATATATTGTTGAGGTTTTGTATTATTGTATTTCCTTATGTTTTTGAGGTTTTGTAATTGTTTATTGCTTGTATTTCTTCTTTTTCTCTTTTTTTTGTAATATTTAAACTCTAATAAATATCTTTAAAAAAAAAGAAAAGAAAACATCCCAGAATACTGTGTTGTTTTTAATGTGCCATTGTAGTTTGCCAGTATAACAATATGAACAAAGTTTAGGATTTCAGGCTGGAAATGGAAGGTAATTATCTGATCTGCATTGTCTCTAGCAGCTGAAAGTCTTTTTAAATTTGAATGAACGAGCATGGAAGGATTTTCTTGGTGTTGGACAAAATGGATTGCAGTGTAATAAAGATGAATGCCTTAATTGGTGAGAAAGTCATCTTATTAACTCCTCTATATATTTAGAATTTATAGGGAGTAGTGCATAAAAGATGAAAAGTGATTTGCAAATCTGATGCCCATCTTCCTCAAATTTGTAGAGGTTTTTTTTGCTTACAGTACTAAAAATGTGCCATAGAAGCAGGTTTTCTTTTTAAACCCACTATATTTCAGATAACATTTTAAAATATTTCCCCAATAAATTAGTGTAGTGACATGTTTGTAGGGGTTCATTGTTAATTTCATTTCCTCTTGCTCAGCCAGCCTGACAACAAAACAGCAAGTCATTAATCTTAGTTTAAAAGAAGATTCTTTTTTTGTGTGTGGAACAATAATGAATGACCTTGATAGATTTGTCAGGAAAATGAATGATAATCATTTGCTGATCGACACAGCCCTAGCAAGGAAGATTAATAAGAAAGTATGCATTGACATCATTAAAAATGTCTGCTGCCAAGGGACTTACACGTCAATTACAATTGAGGCACCTAGGGTAGTGCTGTTATATAATAATAATAATAATTTTTATTTATACCCCGCCCTCCCCAGCCAAGGCCGGGCTCAGAGTGGCTTACAAGCAATAATAAAAAAAGTTAAATGATTACAACCTAAAAACAAAATTAAAAATACATTAAAATATTGAAACATTAAAATATTAAAATGTAGCCTCATCGCAGGAGGAGAAGGAAAAGAAAAAAGAAAGGGAGGGAATCAAATTGGCTCCAAGCCAAAGGCCAGGCGGAACAACTCTGTCTTACAGGCCCTGCGGAAAGAAATCAGATCCTGCAGGGCCCTGGTCCCATGAGGCAGAGCGTTCCACCAGACCGGAGCCAGAGTTGAAAAGGCCCTGGCTCTGGTTGAAGCCAATCTAACTTCCTTAGGGCCCGGGACCACTAGGGTGTTGCTATTTATGGACCTTGAGGCTCTCCGTGGGGCATACCAGGAGAGGCGGTCCCGTAGGTACGAGGGTCCTAGGCCGTGAAGCGCGTTAAAGGTCAAAAGCAGCACCTTAAATCTGATCCTGTACTCCACCGGGAGCCAGTGCAGCTTGAAAAGCACTGGGTGAATATGCTCCCATGGCAGAGACCCCGTGAGGAGCCTCGCTGCAGCATTCTGTACCCGCTGGAGTTTCTGGGACAGCTTCAAGGGCAGCCCCGCATAGAGCGAATTACAGTAGTCAAGCCTGGAGATGACCGTCGCATGGATCACTGTGGCCAGGTCGGGGCGGGAAAGGTAAGGGACCAACTGCTTGATGCGGCGAAGGTGGAAAAATGTCGCCTTGGCTGTTGCTGTAACTTGCGCCTCCATGGAAAGGGAGGCGTCAAAGATTACACCCAAACTCTTAACGGAAGGCAATGGCACTAATTGGGCCCCCACAAGAGAAGGGAGTTGGTCCCTCATCCCCATGCCATCCCGACCCAGCCATAGGACCTCTGTCTTCGAAGGATTTAGTTTCAATCGGCTCCCACGAAACCATCCAGCCACAGCTTCCAAGCATCTGGTCAGTGTGTTCGGGGCCGAGTCGGTGTGGCCATCCATCAGCAGATAGAGCTGAGTGTCATCAGCATATTGGTGACAGCCCAGCCCAAAGCTCCGGATAATCTGGGCAAGGGGGCGCATAAAGATGTTAAAAAGCATTGGGGAGAGGATTGCGCCCTGCGGCACTCCACACACCAAGGAGTGGCGCGACGACATTTCCCTCCCTAGTGCCACCCTCTGTCCCCGACCAGAGATAAAAGAGCACAGCCAGTTACGGGCTATGCCCTGTATCCCCACGTCTGCGAGGCGGTGGTCCAGAAGATCATGATCAACCATGTCAAAGGCTGCTGACAAATCTAAAAGGATCACCAGTCCTGACCCGCCTCGATCCAGCTGTCTACGGAGATCGTCTGTTAGGGCAACCAGAGCCGTCTCGGTCCCAAAACCAGGACGGAAACCGGACTGAAATGGATCTAAAGCCGATGTTTCCTCCAGAAACCTACCAAGCTGTTCAGCAACCGCTCTCTCAATTACCTTACCCAGATATGGAAGATTTGAAACTGGGCGGTAATTGGATAGGTCTAAGGGATCTAATGAAGTTTTCTTTAAGAGTGGACATACCACTGCTTCCTTCAGTTCCCCTGGGAATGTCCCCGTGTCAAGGGACAAATTGATAATTTCAACCAGGGGGGCCCGCGCAACATCTGGACACTCCCTAATCAGCCAAGACGGGCACGGATCAAGGAGGCAGGTGGTGGGCCTACCAACTTGGAGGAATCTATCCGCATCAGCAGGGAGTATTCGATCGAAATGGTCCAACACTGGACCTGAAGTCAGTCGAGGGGCCTCCAGTTCACTCACTGTATCTAAATTGGCAGGAGGGTCACGGCGGAGCAACAGGACTTTCTCCGCAAAAAAGCTCGCGAATGCCTCACAGCTGTGGGTCGAATTTGTGCTTAAATTTGGTTGTCCTCCTAAGGACGTTATTGACCTAATTATTCTAAAAAGTTGTGCCAGGCGAGAGCTAGCGGATGCAATGGAAGCTGCAAAGTAAGATTTCTTAGCAGCTTTCATAGCCATCTCATAGGCTTTCATAAGCGTCCTATAAGATGTTCTTGAGGCTCCGTCACGAGTCCGTCGCCATACTCGCTCTAGCTGTCTGAGATGCCGCTTCATTTTCCGGAGCTCCTCAGTAAACCAAGGGGCCTGGTTTCGACGGGGTCGCAGAGGGCGCTTAGGCGCGATCTCATCAATGGCTGCCAAGAGCCGGTTATTCCAGTCCTCAACAAGGTCATCTAATGAGTCGCCAGGAGGAGCAGGGTCCCGCAAGGCTTGTTGGAATCTATCAGGATCCATCAGTTTTCGCGGACGAGCCCAAATAGGTTCGCCACCCGAGCAGGGGAGGAGCGGGAAGTCAATCTTGGCTTTCAGAGCGTAGTGATCAGACCATGGCACTTCCACAGGGGGGAGCATGATCACATCTATGCCAGCCCCAAAGATCAGATCCAGCGTGTGGCCTGCTTGATGAGTGGGGCCCAAAACAAACTGGGAGAGCCCTAGTGTTGCCATGGAAGTCACTAGGTCCAGAGCCTGTGAGGAGGGAGCGGCATCGGCATGGACGTTGAAGTCTCCCAAAACCAGTAGGCTTGGGAACTCCAAGGCCCAGCCTGCCACCACCTCCAGCAGGTCTGACAGGGTGGCTGCCGGTGTGCTGGGTGGTCGGTACACCAGCCAGACAGCCAAGCTCTCCTTGGTGCCCCACACGAGACCAACACATTCAATGCTGGAGATCGCCGGTGATGGCAGAGCTCTGAAAGAGCAATCCTCCCGGATTAACAACGCTACTCCTCCCCCCCAACCCACAGTCCGTGATTGATGGAGGACAGAGAAACCTAGTGGTGTTATCTCATGTAGGGAGACTACTTCGCCTTCCCGTATCCAGGTCTCCGTCACGCAAGCCAGGTCAATCCCCTGTGAGACAAAAAAGTCACGCATGGTGGCGGTTTTGTTGCCTATGGACCTGGCATTGCACAGCACTAATGATGGAGGTGGGTAATCCTTGCTCTCCCTACCCTCATCCCTTGGGATGGGGCGTAGATTGGAAGGGGTTCGAGGATCACTGCATCTCAAAACCCTTCGCCGATAGAGATTTTTAGCCCCACTGCCATTCCTCCCTAGCCCTTCAATAGTGGAAATCCCAGACCCCATACTAGCCTCCCCAATAGAGGGGTAACATCCCCTCAATAACAAATCATCCTTGGGCCAGGACTCCTGGGTCAAAATGGTATGGGGAAGAGGTGGAGGTTTGATAGGGTAAGTATCCCTAGAAGATAAAACCCAACCAACCGCACCCCAAGCGGGGAGGACAGTCCCATGGTGTTTCATTAACTGTCAATCCCCCTCTCCCTCCTGGGTTGATTGGAGGATTGTTGGTTCTATCTGTGGCTGTGGGAGTATTAATGAGGTATGTGCTATAAAATGTGGATCACTGGCTAACAAAGAGCCAGCTTCGAATACGGAAGATCTGTTCATCCTGTCTCGCCAGGAGTACAGTAGAGAAGGTTGCTCATTCTGATAAGTTTTTGGAAGATTAGGCAAAGGTCCAGATGTAGATTTGGTGCTGGATATCTCCAGATTGTCAGCAACATAGAGTTCTTTAGGTGTTGTTGCCATAGAAATGTCGGAGGCGCCAAATTCCTCATCTAATTCGGTGTCGTTTGAAAAGGGAACAGGGAGTTGCACTGATGTCTTTCTATGGGATAAAGAGCTGTTGGCCGTCTTTAAATATTGTGCTCTAGGCTCTATTGTCCTTATATTTTGGGTAGAAATCTCAGTCTTTATACTCATTAGCCTCTTCTTCAGGTCTTGTAATTCTAGGCTTACAGGGTTCTTTTCTTTCTTCGGGCAATTACTGTTTCTAGTGTTGAGCTTGGTTTCCCTTATCCGCATTAGCTTTGACTCTATGCAAGGGACCAATTGCCTCCTTGTTTCGTCCTTAAATACCCTCACTGGGCGGAGACAATGGAACCACCATAGAGTATCCTTTATCTCCATGAGTATCACAATCTGTTTACAACACACACACATGTATGAATTCTATAGTGCTAAAAACTCATTTCTTGAAATGTCCCAGCATGAAAAAAAATCATTCTTTAGTTATTTATCTGAAGAAGTGTGCATGCACACAAAAGCTCATACCAATAACAAACTTAGTTGGTCTCTAAGGTGTTACTGGAAAGAATTTTTTTGTTTCTTTAGTAAGTCAGAGCCTCTGACCCATGCATGTCTGTACAGTATGAGACTGCATATAGGTCTTCTAAACAGTTCTACTCAGTTGAACTGATGCCTAGTTCTGGTGCTGCTAGTTCTGATGGTGCCCATCAGTGGTTGGGAACAGAATGGAAATCTGGATTTTATATTCCATTGTTTCCAACAACCCCACCTGAATGCATTCAGAAACCCATTATGTTTCTCAGCACAATTCATGCAGCACATCCTGGCCGGACCTTTGAATTAAACACTGCATAGGCAGCTGCTAAAGGAGCACAATGAATGCACTCTTGGAATTAGCTGCCTCCTGTTCTGAAGCTTACCTGCGGATAGGAACATAGGAAGCTTCCTTATACCCAGTCACATAATTGCCCCATCTAGCTTAGTTTTGTCTACACTGACTGGCAGCTTGAGTACATGCCATTCAAGAAATAAGACTGACCGGAAGGTATATTAATTGCATCTCTTGCTTTAAAAATTACCCTGTAGTTCCTCTCTCCACTTTATATACAGTGGTACCTCGGGATGCGAACGGGATCTGTTCTGGAGCCCGTTCGCATCCAGAAGCAAACGTAACTAGCAATGGCACGTCTGCGCATGCATGTGTCGCTTTTCGCTGCTTCTGCGCATGCGCGTGATGTCATCTTGAGCACCTGTGCATGCACGAGCTGCGAAACCCGGAAGTAACACGCTCCGTTACTTCCGGGTTGCCACAGAGTGCAACTCGAACACGCTCAACAGGAAGCATATTCAACCCGAGGTATGACTGTATAAATAAAAATGTATTTCCATTTTCAGAAGCATGGAGCTTTGGAGGAAAGTAACAGCTATTAATAATACATATTTCTTAGACTTGTGGTGTGTAAATCACTTTATCATGTGTCTTCACAACAACCCAATGAGGTAGGTCAAGGTATCACTGATAGGGGTGGAGCCTGAGAGAAGGGGACCAGCTAAAGCCACAGTGTAGGTCCACGGCTGGATGAATTGCAACTTGTAGCTTCCGGTTAATGCCTGTGCTTGTTCTAACTGGAGCAAGGCAATCCTGGGCTCATCCAAAGTATCCCCATAAGAAGATGTTAATAGCCAAGAGAGCTACAGCATTGGCATTGCAAACAGCCTTCCACATTGGCTCTTCCTTGATGCTGGTGAGTTTCTTTTCAAGCACCGCTTCCTCCTCTCTGGTTAAAGTGGGCTTGGGGTCAGTGGAAATCCCACAGAACCAGAAAAACACTTTCTTCCAGCAAGGATGCTTCACTCCTGAATGGGGGGGAAATGAGGAAAATGTGTGGGTTTTTAAAAATGTTTTGTGTGTTTATACGAACCACTACTGGTATTTTACAGTTTTAGCAGGATGAGGTAACTTTATGACAGAGACAGACAAAGTATGGCAGAGTCACGAACTCACACAGGTTCCCCAACTCCGAAGTACAGCATAGCTCCTGCACTGGTTACTGGAGCCAAGAGGACATTATACTGCTGGTCAACGTACTACCCCAATCCCCAGGTGACTTGAACTCCAGCATTGGCTCCCACTTCTAGACTATAGCCCACTGATGACCAAACTTGGCCCTCCAACTGTTTTGGGACTACAATTCCCATCATCCCTGACCAATGGTCCTGACCATTGGTCCTGTTAGGGATGATGGGAGTTGTAGTCCAAAAACAGCTGGAGGGCCAAGTTTGGCCATCACTGCTATAGCCTAACTATTGAGGCTACCAGGAAGCAGCATTTAGATCCCATGGACATTTCACAATGAATGGGAACCAATACTATTGGTTGCACTGTTGGAAGGACCTTATTAGTGAACACAGGTAAAGCCCTTGCTCCTGGATGCTAGGCTGTGAAGTACAGAGGCTCTTGCTTTGTTGTCCTGCTTTCCTTCTGTGAAGTCCCTCCAGCAAATGAGATCTGTTGGTTAATATGACATGTGTGTTCATAGCATTGTTGCCCTGTCTTTCTCAGTTCCTGTGCCTTTAACAACATCTGCCTGCTAGGGAAAGCTTCACTTCACCTGTTGAACCTCTTCATCTCTCATGGTAGAACAGACCAGATATAAAACAGAAGGAAACCCTTATATCTTATATCATTCCCACTTATTTTTCCAAGCACAGCCCTTTGAGGTACTAAAATGGCATAAGCACACACACAGAGAGCCTCATTATGCTTTTGCATGAAGGATGTTACATTTCCTTTGCCGTCAGTGCTAATAACCTCATCTTCAGGATAGCTGTTTACAAACAGATGCAAGGACAGATGAGTTTACTTCATGTGAAAACAAAGGTGACAAATAATTAACAACATTAGGTTGAACAGCTGCTTTGAATGTGAATCAAACTACCTGTCAGACCCACAGATAAAAGTCTGGTCTCCTCGTTTTTCAGTGGTTTCCAGACCTGTTTCCTTTGGACCTCTCCACAATGACCGCTCCCCGCTTAAAACGGGGGGCGCCCTTTGCGTGGACACGCGCAGCCCCTAGATCTGGACTGGCTCCAACAGCATAGGCTTGGTTTGCCTTCCCTCAGGTGGGATACCTGGAGGTCTCCGCCTACCTCAGTCAGTTGTCCAATCCCACCTGGGGGAAGCGTTGCTAAGGAGACCAGGCCAGGTCTCCTGCCCACCTGCCTACCTGCCCACACAATAGAGGGAGGATCTTACCTGGGAATCCTCACTTGGCTCCAGAGCTTCTCCCACCCTACCCACCCTCAGTTAATGTCTTATTTGCAGGTTAACTTTTCTTCACAGGTTTTGCAGGTTAATTTTTCTTCGCAGGTATGTGGGCGCTGCTACGTTAAGGTCGCTGTTAAGGGGCCGGAAAGGAATTTCCCTGCATTGGCAGGTTTCACCTTTCCCGTAGCAAAACGTCACAACTTTGGCGGTATCAGGCCTTGGGCGGAATCCTTTAGTCCATCTTCCTCTTTGCGGCGGCGATACCAGGGTTCCCCGTTAAAGGGGTTTCTGAAGGGAGGCTTTGACCATACGCCGAAAGGTCGTCATTGCTCTCCCCTGCGGCGGCAGCGTAACGGGGGTGGCTATCTCTGCTTGAACATATGTTCTCCAGAGCCGGCCCATCCCCCCCCCCCACACTGGATAACCCTGATGCTCCCTAGGTCCCCGGCTGGGGACTGGGGAGGGAGAACGCCAAATGCCTGAGCCAAGGTCTACCCACATTTGAAGTTTAATAAAGTTGTGGCCAATTTAATCCCATAGCACGTTGTCATGAGTCGTTATTCCACATGACGGGGGGACTGCGCGGGATCTGGGGACTCCGCCTGTCCACGCAATAAGGAGTTTCAGAGGATAATAGGGCCCCCGTCTCCTGATTCCCTGCCTTTTTTCTCAGTTCAAAAGCCTGGACTTAAAATGTGGGCTAGCATAGCTGTTATTCCATAGACACCAAGCAGGGCTAGGGAACCTGTGGTCCTCCAGATGTTGCTCCCATCATCCCTGACTATTGGCCATAATGTCTGGGGCTGATGGTAGTTGGAGCCCGACAGCATGTGCCTGACCACAGTTTCCCCATCCTTGTACAAAGTTATGGGACAATGAGCTTTAAAAGGAACACTTTGATGAAGGTAAATCCAACAGCTCTGAGCAAAGGGTGGGAATTCAGCCAAGTTAGAAAATCCAAGGATTTGGGGGAAGGGGGCTTTGTAAACTTTATCCCATTTTACTTGCTATGCAACAATTTCCAGAAGTGTAGCTGTGTGCTACAGCAAAAACAACAAAGTCTTGTGGCACCTTAAAGGCCACAGGCTTTATCCAATGCTCTGTCTGCCAGTGCAAGGGTGAGTTTAAATGTTGTGCAGCAGAGGAATCTAGTGCAACAGATTGCATAGCCGATTGCACAAAAATTTGCTTATGCATTCTCTCTTGCAACAATGTTCCACTGGTACAAAACATTTCACCAGTGGAGCAAGTATACTGCTAAGTGACTTTTAGCTGTGCTGGATACAACCCCATACGTTTGAAGCACACGGCGCCCCCACAATGAACCCTGGGAACTGCAGTTTACTCCTCACAGAGCTTGGATTTCCAGCACCCTTAAGAGATCACAGTTCTCAGGGTTCCTTGTGAGAATCAGTGTGTCTTAAATGCATGTTAAATGTGCTTTAAGTGTATGGTGTGGATGTGACCAAACTAATTTATTATGCTTTGATTTATACTTTAGTGGATTGCAGTCTATTTTGTCAGAAGTTCATGTCATAATACATTTATTGGTTTTTAAGCTGCTTTGTTGTTGTTCTCCATTATAGCTGTGGATTAGACTGAGAGGCAAGGAGAATGGCTTTAATCCTAAACAAATATTTGTGGCATCTCCTCACTGAGCTGACTCTCGCATTCTGTATGAAAATGACTAAAACATTTTATGCAAGATCTTTTTGTGATAATGAATGATGATTATCCCAGCTAAACACAACACTTTACATCCATCCAACTTTCAAGTTGCAACCACTGGGTTTCCTTTTTCTGCTCTCAAATTCCTGCCAGAAGATCACATTGCAGTGCTGTGCACTTGTAAAAGAGTAACTCCTCTGACCAAAAGTGCAATTAAGCTTTCCAGTCTTTGGTTTCCCTCATTTCAGTGGAGAAATGTTAAACATGAAAGGAAATTGTTTCAAAATAGGCCTCTTAAAGAACAACAGCCATGGGGGGGGGGGTATAAAATGTAACTTATTGGATGCTACAATGATCAGTTTTTGTAGCATTTGGCACATGCTGCAAAAACCAAAACCTATGATGCTAATAGATTCGGCTAATTTCTAGGAACATTTCTCTCTATTTATTTCATAAAATTTATACACTGCTTGATGTTAAAACTCTCAAAGCAGTTTACAAAAAGATACAACCATAAAATCAGGAAAAAGTACTATACATTATAACATGAGCAGAAAGTTACACCTATCTACCATGGCGTGTCTAGTTTGGCAAACCACTTATACTAAGTGGAGGACACAAGGTTATGGAGCAAGCTTTCTAGTCATCTATTGGCTTTGATGGACCCTGGATGTTCTATGTACATTGTGCACACACACAAAAATACAACTGGCAGGAGAAAACAGGTAACATACCTCCATGCTCTTTACATACTAAATCTCCATTCTCTGACTGAACAGTATCTACATCATTCTCTCTCTTGGAGGAAACCATCTCTGTGCTTGGGCAGGTGTGGCTCTCCAAGTCTTTTTCATCTGTTTTTCTGTGTCTAGTCCACCATGTCAGTCGGGCAAGCTGGGTAATTTGCAAATCAAAAACAAAGTTGTGAAAGCTGCAGAATATTTGTGTGTCATTTAGCTTATGCGTCTGCTTGCTTTAGATCTAGCCAGATTGATACAGAAGGGCTTAAAGGAGCATGGCTTTAGCCACACAAATTGTGTGCGGATAGGTTGTCCTGCAACTCATACTAAAAAGGCACATCACAATCTGATGCATGTCTACTCAAAAGTAAGTACCTTGCGATTTGCTGTCTCCCAGAATCACAATAATATAAAGTCATAGAATCGTAGAGTGGCACACAGAACCTTTATATATACAAAACATAAGAGAGAACCGGAACCTCCTGGGTATTTTGAAGAGGATGGTGACATGTGAACACTGGAAAACTTGCATGTGGAAGCAGCACCAGTTCATGTGGAAGCCACCCATCTCTCTTGTGCTGAAGCATTAAACACCCCCCCACACACACTTCTCTGCTCCAAACTGACCCCTCCTAAAGTTGCTTTTCTAAAAAACAAAAATGTTGTAGGGAGTTCTAATACAGACACATTTGCACATAGCATGCCATTAGCATACTACTCTACTTGGAAAGTAACTCTCAAAAGGTCACTTATAAATGAACAGTAGTTTTAATACTTTGAATTTCAGGCACAAAATCTGGAAGGCAGTTTCCAGCTGACACAAAAAGTTGTATAATCTCTGGAAGATTTATAGCTTTATTTAAATTATTTTCAACCAAGATGAGCATCAGGCAAGGCTAATCTTTCTTGTCACATTGTGCTAAATTGCTTTGATTTGATGATCCTCATCTTTCCTGAAGAATCCTTTTAGGGGCTTCTTTCTTTCTTTTTTACGTTCCTTTCCTTTCCCCCCCTTTTTGTTACTCATTAAATCTAACTAGAATGTAATGAAATTGGAGGACACAAAAGGATCCAGGAGACATTTCCCTCTTCCTCTGAACACAAATGGCTTGTTGGTGAGTGAAGGGGAAGAGATACATTAGGATGAAATAAAATAGTTTTAGCAGTAGCGACAAAAACACTTAAACTAATTTAAGTGCAGGCGTGATTAATGCTTGTAACTCTAAAATGCACTTATTGGATAGAAAACAGATTCATGGGCAAGGCTCATCATGACTTTGGCTTGTGTAGGACACTTATTTCTGACATACTAGAGTTCATATGTATTCATCTGGAGAGAGACCATGTGTCTTTGAAAGGCCCATCATGCCAACCTGAGACCCCATTACTCCATCAGTTGCTTAGCCTGTCTTCTCTTGTTTTTTTCAAGCACATACTAGAGTTCTACAAACTACACTGAGCAGGTGAAAGAGTAGTAAACCTACAAGCTGGGAGGTACAGTGGCTGCAGGACCTTCTTATCTGATGAATGAATGACATTCAAATAACCGTAAGGGTTGAGGGAGAATCCCACAAAATTGAGTGGAAGCAACATGGGTAAATGTTTCTGCCTGATTTTGGGGGATCTTTCTTCTCCCTCGCTCCCCATGCTCCAGCCTACCCCATTTAAAGCCCCCAATGGCTTGGCTCGACCTGTCTATGCTCTAAGATCAACAGATGAAACCCACCTGGTTGTCTGTGGAATGAGATACATGGTGTGATAGCCTTGAAAAGGGCCTTTTCAGTGGTGGCTCCTGATACACTGCTAATGTGCATTTGGTTCCATCTATAGTTTTAGGAGACTAGTTATGACTCATCTTTTTCAGTGGGCATTTGGAGGAGGGGAGATGTGATTGCTGCTGCTGTTGCTGCTATTAGTTACTTGTTATTCACTATTTAGTTGTTATGTGCTGTTAAAGGATTATTCTGTTTTTATGGATTTTGATCTGGGTGCTTTGCTGTAAACCACCCTGGACATATAAATCATCTAAAGAAATAAATTCAGTAGGGTTCACTAACCCTCAGTAGAATAGTTTCAGTTTTTGGGGACGGGGGGATGCTGCTGTGAGGAGAAAGAATTCTGACTTCCATTGTCTATTTAGACATTTTACTATTTTTGCAATCTATTTTGAGTTTATTTTATAAATAAAAGTGGGATATAGTTTTTAATTGAATTAATATAGTACCGCTATCCTCTTGTGACCTCACTTCCTCCTCTGCCACTCCCCACTTCCTCGTGTTCTCGGTCTGACAAACCTTAAAAGAAACTTTGTCAAGAATTTTAAAAAAAGTTTTCCCTCCCCCTTTTTCCTCTGTCGAACTAGAATAAATCCTTCTCTTCCAAAATGCCATCTGGCATCTGGCAGTTGCGTTTCAGCTTCACAGTCTCAAATTTAATTGTAAGCTCCTTTGCAGAGTTTTCAAGGACGACATGACACAATATGGGCTATGTACAATGAAGACATATGAACTCTGAGGCATACCAAACAAATTCTTTGCATATTTGTTTTGCGGTACAGCATCCATCACCACAGGGATGGGAGAGTGTCCAAAACAGCAGGGAAAAATGCTTCTGCTTGCTGTTTTTAGGCTGTAATTCATTTAAAGCTTGGTGCATTAACGGTACTCCTCAAACACCAGATACAAATCTCTCCTTCCTCTTCTGTCCATTTGCTACTGTCAGAGGAGAAGGTCATCAGAGAAAGTTTTGTGAGGCCATGTGTAGTCACTCTTTCCCAGATAAAACTCCAGGAGGATTGTACTCAACTCTGCACCAATGAGCCAGGGTCCTTATCCATTCAAAAGCATAGGTTCAAGAGTTTTTAATGTGTGACATTTTAGTGTATTTTTGGTCTCTGTGGAAGCCGCCCAGAGTGGCTGGGGAAACCCAGCCAGATGGGCGGGGTACAAATAATAAATTATTATTATAATTTATTATTATATCATTCAAGAGATCATTTCAGCCTGAGGTTCGCTAATCACTCCTTTGTGGCCATGCTAGGATGAATGGCCCATTCTCTTTTCAGTCCTTGCCAGTTTTGCATGTGTTCCATTACATATTTACATTATTATTTTTTAATCTGTCTGAAAATTCATATTTAAGTACACATTTTATCACAAAATATGTATTTTAAACCTGCATTCTAAAATTTGGACCAGTGCAAAATCTGAAGGATAATTATGCTTCAGGCTATATTAGTCCAGCTCACTGAAAAATGCAGCCTGAACAAATCTCTTCACCAATCCTAGGCCATACAATTTTGAGAGCCCCACTCTGATATGGGAAGTTAAGTGGAGTTGAAGCTGTCTGCCACCTGGAAGGAAGGCTACCTGGGAAAGCTGATGGCTACAGGCACTCTGAACCCATTGTCTATTCACATCAGTTGAGAATATGATCCATACTTTTGTTCACTGAGGAAAACTCTTTCCATTATTCACTAAGCTGACCCAGTAAAACCAGGATTGGACTGCTTTTGGGAAAACCAGAGTTGTGAGAAAGTATTCAAAGCATCTCTTCAAGAACTCACTGAAAGAAAACTTTTTTTTTTTTACCAGTTTTATGCAGCAAATGAAATAAAGTTCTTTGCTACCAAACCTCAGTCGTTCAATGTAATTGAGATCACTTTGGGATGGAATGTTCTTTCTAAATGCCAAGGCTCCAACAATATTAATCTTGTTAGCTTACAAGATTGATGCCGTCTCTTCTGAAATACGAGAGAGGGTTCAATTAGAGCCATTACATCCCCTCCTCAGCAGCCCATTCTAATATGATTTCTTCCCCACTGTCTGCCTCTCTACTTGATAGGATGTGCCAGTAGTGTCCTCACAGCATGGAAGCCTGCTCTCCATTTCCAGTGCTCACTGAGTCTAAATGATTTTTAACCCTATAATACCTGGGAAGCAAGATCATTCAGAAGGAAGACTTCTTTGTAGGGCTTTTCAGTTTACAGTAGTACTGAGGGGTCCAAGGTACAACGAGGAAAACTAAGCAAGTGTTTTGGTGTTCTGTTTTAAAAAGAATATTCATCCTTGAAAGCCACTTACATTTTCCTCTGGGACTGGTGGTGTGCAGAGGCTAACAGTGACGATGACAGCTGCCGTTAGCACACACAGGAGGATAGCAAAGTACAGATAGTGCACATCTTTCAACAGAGCTGGCCTCTGGTCCTCCTCACCACAGGAGGGCGCCATGTAGATAAACTCCATAACCATCCGAACGAGTCCGACTGCTAACCCAAACATCAGTCCCCAGAAAGCTCCCTGGGAAGAAAACATAGGGAGATGTGATGAAATTTGAGTGGAGGAGTTGGAAACATGGGGTGGGATTCAAAGAAGTGCTGGGGAGATTGATCCATCAGTGCAAGTATTTCTGTTTGCCCAAGGGAGGCGTCTCCACTACCAACACATGGTGTTTTGCAGGTTCTCCTGTCCCTTCAGAGTGGAGGTTAGAGTGTGTGTGTGGGGGGGGAGAGTTGGGGAAAGCCCTGTTATGCTAGTGGAATTCCTTGGGCTGGCTTCCACTGGTGGAAGGAGTTAGTTAAATCCAGTCCACCAACTTGCTTACTGGTTTTGTTACAACATCCCAGTTTGGAAATTAACATGATCCAATTTCGTTCTTTATTGAGAGAAGGGCTAAAAACATATTTAGTTATAATTTATACGTATGTACTACATTTAAATTTTCACAGGTATTTATTTATGAGAGTCATTGTCACCTAATATATAAGATTGCCATACCTAGACTTAGAAAGCCTTATTTCAAATCTTAACTTAGTTATCTTGGTTCTGGTAACAAAAAAACCCACATCCCTAGAATAATAAGCGTTTGGCCACTGCCTCTGCCTCTGAGCCAATGTATTTACCTTTTTAAAGTAATGCCTTCAGAACAGCTTTTTGGACAGTTTATCCTACAGCACTAGTATAATGTTTAAAGGCATACAAAGAGTGGGACCAACCGCATGAGTCCTTAACAGAAAACGGGGGTCCCTAATTCCATCCTGGCAGAGATTTTCAAGATAAGAACCCACATCGTTACAAGCCTTTAATTACTGCAGAAGCACAGTGGAAACTTCTAGAGAGGCTCCCGTGGGACTAATTACATTGAAAAGACAGCAAAGACTAATGAGTGAACTGATTATAGTGTTGCACTGCTACAGCATTGGAGAAGATGGCTTTCAGATCAGGAAGAGAAGTTAGGATTAGGCTGACAGCATTGGGGCATGAACTCAGGATCAGATATCAAGTTAGTGCCCAGGACATAGGGCTGAAATTGCAATGATGCGTTAAAGCAAGCACAGAAATGATAAAACAGCATGCCTGGTTGGAACCCAGATTAAAAAGCATCCATATTATCAGGTGGAGTTTCTCCAGGACCCTTCTCGCTTTGACCATCAGTCTCCCTAGGAACATTGATAGGTCCCAAACTAGCTCTTCAGCATTAAGTGAGAATGATCCCCTCCAAGTTCCTGTACATTTCATCAGTCAAGCTATACAATTAGCTGGAATACGAACAGAATTAATGCAGCCATTGCCCAAACCACACTGGGTAAACAACAGACCTATGTAAATGACATTTATGTAGCTGCGTATGTTTGTGTGGGTTCATTTATGGAGTGGTTGGAGTTACAATGATGTAAAGAGCAGTGGAACTCTACTGAGCTAGAAAAAGAGTGCCCGTGGGAAGGGGAGGGGAGGGAAAGCAAGCAAAGGGGACTGAATGGATAGAAAAACCTAAGTTTGCATGAAATGTATGGCTTTCACCTGGGAGGGGGGTGGGAATCTAGAACAAAGCTGTTGGAAACTGATGAAAGAACTATGGGTTCCTATGGGTTAAAAGGCCAGGAAATTATATTGCACATCTACAAGTAGCCTAGAATAACGGATCTCTGTTTTTGTTTGGTTTTACCTTATATCATGCCTCTTCTTTTTATTCCTTGAAATTCCCTTTAAACAAAAACAAAGCCCTTTCCTTCCACTCCCCACCCCAATACCCTTAACTGGGTTTGAAGGGGCAAAGACCTGAAGTGAGTTGGTCAATGTTTGGGTTGCCCCATTCCCTTTGAAGGGAGTATACCTATTCAAATTATCCTCTTAAATGCTATGGGTTTGGTACAGGCACAGTCCCCAAGGTCCTCAGGAAGTCAAGTCCTAACTGGTATTCCTTGCACACTGGGGTACCTGGGGTTTGAGTCCTGAGCCCCAGAAGGTGGTTACTGAATGCTCACTTGTGTGGGTTTAGAGAAAAGTGGCGCTCCCCTCAACTTGAGGTGCTGGTGTTATACCAGGACATACAGTTCTGCGGAAATGGGTCTATTTAGCAAGTTTGTCAAAAAGAAACAAGTGAAACTTGGCTTGATTTCACAATGTGGCTAGATCTCCCACATAATTATATACGGCTCAGCTCTCTTGAAGTCTCAAACCAAAGGAGATTTGATGACTGGAAGATTAAAGCTAGGGAAATTCAGTTTCTGAATAAGAATTACTTTCTAAGCAGTGGGGGGGGGGAGAATAAGTTTTGGTGAATCTTTATGAAGTTCCTTCTTTTCTCCCTGCTCCCCCCCTCTCACTTCCTGTGTCTTATCACTTCTTTCAGTTAAACCAGTAATCAAAGCCCTGAGAATCTTTTTTAAAGAGATGCTGTCCTCTAATGGGCCTAAATTCCACAGTTGTTGCATTCAAGGGAAAGTCAGTCAATATAATCGTAATGAATGGTCTTGTCTGCCCTGAAAAACTATGAAACGATGACATTTGGGAGATGCTATTATTCATACGCACCTCCTCATTGATTCTGTACTTACTGGCTCATTGATCCTCTTGCAGAAGATTGCTAGGATGAAGAGGGCAGTGATGGGTGGCGCTAGGTAACTGGTTATTGACTGAATGTAGTCAAAGAGCTGACCGCTGTTGGCTAGCTGGATGATGGGGATCCAGAGGATGCTAATGGCAACGAGAATGAGGACAAACACCCTGCAAGAGCAGGACAAAGCATGTTACTTCTGCACAACTTGACAAATCTAACTTTTGATCTTCTCTATGGAGCCACGGAAAGGGGGAGGGGGATTTCCCCCCTCATGGCACAACGGGGTTTGGGGAAAACTCAGCAAGTGCTGCTTTGTCAAGACTTCAAACAGAGAGTACATTTCATTGACCAAAAGGACGTTAAGGGAAAGCTGCAAACATGCTGCTGCTGCAATGATCGTGGACAGCTCCCATCCCGCAGATATGAGGCCTCTCTGGCGGCCATGATTTTTTACAGGCAGAAGTCACTTGAACAGCTGCAGAGCAATCCCAGAAATGGGGAGAGCACACAGCCAACAGCACAAGCTGCAGAGTTGGGTATGAAGACAGGAGGACACCAGCTGTGGAGGGCAATGACATGAGCGTTTGGTCCAACCAAATCTGCTTTGGGATCAGGTTCAGTGATTTGGATCAGAGACTTTCGTGGCTCAGTTTGAGTTGCTTTCAGTTCTTAACTGAAGCGGAATACGCGGCCCTGGAAACGGAATATACGCTGTGGAACGTTTCCTATGACTTTTGCAGCACCTCACAAGTTCTTGCCCCAGTTCACGCCTTGCTTGGGCTCCAACTGAACCTTAACAGGAGGGCACACAAGGAAGTTTGATAATCGTGGGCATGAAACCTCTTCAGAAACTGCACTAGGTGCACCTGCAGGTAAGGGGCAACTGTGGGCACTAGGCTGTTTGTGGGCAGTGTCTGCTCAGGGAGCATTTTTGATAAGCAAATTAAGGTGTGGGGAAGAAAAGGGACCTTCCGACGATCATGAGTTCCTGTTCAGTGGCCGTCTTGCGGAGTCGCTGCCAGATATCTATGGCAAAAAGGGTGCTGCTACTATTGAAGATAGAGGTGAGAGAGCTCATCAAGGCAGCCATGATCACAGCAATCATCAAGCCACGGAGTCCTAAGAAGTCAACAAGGAAAGCCTAGTTATCTTTCACCAGCGAACTCACACTAGCCCACTTCATCAGCAGGCCAACGCTTGCCCATGTGGTCCACCTCACTCTCAACAAGAATAGAATTACCTTACCTACAGGCATGAGCTCCATTACTAGCTTAGGGTAGGCAATGTTTGAACAACCCACTTTCGCTCCACAGACCTTTTCACAGATTTCTGGGTCTACACATCCCACTTCATCTGGAGCAAGCAAGTAAATAAAGAAATGCAGGTTTTAATTATAGGAGATATAGAGGAAACAGTTGCTGTTTACATTTATGGGTGATTAAGGGTGCAGCAGACATATGCTTTTCAGGTTGTGTTTGAGATCCATGCCATGTGTTTCCTGTCCCAAATGTTATTACTTCTGACAGTGCCACCCATACATATATAAGGTGACAACAGATGACTGTGTTTACCTTGTGAACGCTGCTTATAAACTTACTGCAAATTGCTTGCAAACACAATATTATTGCCCATCCAATGATCAGTTGGGAAAGTTTGTCTCACCATATAGCTGGATGAGTTCCTACTGTAGGTGGTTGCATGTTTACAGCTGTCCACCCTCCTTGTAAATGGCCACCTGTGGGCACTTGTAGCCTTAGTACAGCCAGCAGTAGCTTACCTGGATAGAGAGCTCTGCTAATCATGCCCGGCATGACAATGAAAAACATTGGGAAGATTTTCAAATATCCGCCTAGCACAGACCCGCCTTTAGCATGAGAGAGACTCTTCGCAGAGAGTGACCTTTGCACAATTACCTGAAAGGAGAACCAGTTAGTTTTAAGGAAACTTTGCACAGGTTGTTTCACATTTTCTTGGAAACAGAAGAGAACCAAGATAGTCAAAGCAATCTTTTGGCCAAATTGTTAAGAAATGGCAGTCGCTAAAAACTGAAGGCTAGGCTAGAGGGTTTGTAAAGAATCTTCAAGAGATAACCTTTCTCAAATTAAGAGAGAATATCTCTTAATATACATATCCTGTTAAAATGTATACTTTTAATCAATGATTTTTGAAAAAACCATTTGTGAGCTTTAAATGTACTATACAATTAATGCATGGTTAATTGGACTGGCTATAAGGAAAGTTTCTACAGTGGTACCTTGGGTTAAGAACTTAATTCGTTTTGGAGGTCCGTTTTTAACTTGAAACTGTTCTTAACCTGAAGCACCACTTTAGCTAATGGAGCCTCCTGCTGCCGCCACTGCATGATTTCTGTTCTCATCCTGAAGCAAAGTTCTTAACCTGAGGTACTATTTCTGGGTTAGCAGAGTCTGTAACTTGAAGTGTCTGTAACCTGAAGCGTATGTAACCCGAGGTACCACTGTAGTCCATTCCATTACCTCAAGTAACAGGGCTGAGTTAGGGCTGTTTCTTCAGTTTGCTGAAATTAGTGAGCCTAAGTTAGCTGTGTCTATTAACTTTAATGGGCCAACTCTGAGTGCAACTGGCACTGAAGGCACCCATTGTTTTTTCTCGTAACAGTAGGCTTTAACTCTGCTTCTGAATTTTTTAGTGCGTGCTCAGAATCTGAGTAATGCAAATGATTCCTACGTGCTGTAAGTACAAGGAAACAGAGATCTCATATGGTGATTTTGACTGAAAAAATCCCATGGGTTTTTGATCCCAGCACAATAAATTAGTCCTAAAACTCTCCTGTAGAGGGCAGTGATAAATCTATCAAACGTAGCAAGAAAGACATATTTACTTTACCGGATTTACTTTACCTGATCTGTGCACCAGCACCAAAGAGCGAGCACTGAGAGGCCAAATATAAGTCCAGGCCATGGAATATCTCCATTGATAGGGTCCCTCATCATATGGAAGGCATCTTCCCGTGGCAAGTGGCAAGTAGTGTTTGGCACAATGACGCTGGGGATGGCTCTACTATATTTCTCTTGCAGTCCTTCGTACCACCCAACTTTATCAAAGCCTAAAATGAAAGAGGCCACAGTCCAGTCAGCAAGCTCATGTCATCCATCCATATTTTCCCCCAGCCATACATCGTCCCCTCTAGCCACATTTTGCAGGGTCAAACCAGATGTGAAGTTTGTAATGTGAATTGTTAATGGTTTCCTTTGTGTTGGGGGATAGTATTGCAGAGGGAGGGGCAAGCTGGATTGGGACCATGGCGTTTGGAAGGAAGGGCTTTAAGCTTTTGACTCCATGGATTACCAATAATTGCCCCCTCCCCCATGGAAGGCACTTGAAGTGGCCAGACAAACCCAAAGCAAGGTTGTTGCACGACACCAAACTATAGTCAAAACAAGCCACATTTTGCAAGCCAACAACAAACCGTATCTTTGCATTGTAGCTGGTTGCCTGAATACAAAATAGTTAAATCTGCTAGGCTAGGCTCAGATGCTCAAACAAACCACACATTGGTTAAACAAGCCATATTACCGTATTTTTCGCCCCATAGGACGCACTTTTCCCCCTCCAAAAATGAAGGGGAAATGTGTGTGCGTCCTATGGGGCGAATGCAGGCTTTCGCTGAAGCCTGGAGGGCGAGAGGCATCGGTGCGCACCGACCCTCTCGCTCTCCAGGCTTCAGGAAGCTATCCGCAAGCCTTGCAAGCCCGGTGGGAGTTCCCGCGGGCTCACAAGGCTTGCGGGCAGCAGCCTGCAGCCCCGGCGAGTGACCGCAAGCCTTGCGCGCCCGGCAGGAGGTCCCGCCGAGCGTGCGAGGCTTGGGGCGGCAGCCTGTCACCCGAAGCACGGGGAGCCCTCCGGAGGGCTCCCGTGCTTCGGGCGAGTGTCTGCAAGCCTTGCGCGCCCAGCAGGAGGTCCCGCCGGGTGTGCGAGGCTTGGGGCGGCAGCCTGCAGCCCGAAGCACGCGGAGCCCTCCGGAGGGTGCCCTGTGCTTCGGGCAGGTGTGTGCAAGGCTTGGGGCGGCAGCCGCGGCGGGGGGGGGGAATAATTTTTTTTTTCATTTCCCCCCCAAAAAACGAGGTGCGTCCTATGGGCCGGTGCGCCCTATAGGACGAAAAATACGGTAATTGTGCAGAGCTTTTGCAGATATTAGATGATACATAATAAACATGTAACTAAACTTAAGTCCAGTTTTCTCTTCTCAAAAAAAAAGTTTGATGTAGAAGTTGAGATGACATCAACCCAGATGGTTTTTGGCGTTTTTTCCAAGATGTGTCATTCTATTAGCCAAAGAAATAAAGCAACACAATCCCATCTTCATCTCACCGATAAACATAAGAACCAATGCTCCAAGCACCATGATCACAGTCTGCAAAGCATCTGTGTATATCACTGCAGTTAAACCACCTGTGAAAAAGATTAGAAAGAACTGATTCAAAGACCAATATTTCTACATTTTTGTGATTTCCCTTACTCTGTTACAAAATGGTTCTAATAAATGAATCAATGAAAAGAATAGGATTTTAACACATGAGCAAGAGCCTGGATAGCTCAGTTTGTTAGACCGTGGTGCTGATAACGCGTATGGGGCAGCTGCATATTGCTGCATTGCAGGGGGTTGGATCAGATCAGGGTCTCTTTCAACTTTACAGTTCTATGATTCTACAAAAACTAAGGTTTTGAGTACATAAAATGAATCATGGAATCATAGAATTGTGGAGTTGGAAGGGAACCCAAAGGCCATCTATTTATTTTTTTTAAAGATATTTATTGAAATTTTCAAAATGTTACAAAAAGGAAAAAATAAAATAGAAGCAGAAGAAAGTACAAATAAAAATAGTTGACAAAGTAGAAAAAGAAAAGAAAAGAAAAAAACAAACCCCTTCCCACCATATGAGTAAAAATTCAAAATAAAAAAAAGTGACAGAAAAAAAAGAAAAATACAAAAATACATCACAAACCGTTAAAAACATTTAAAAACAAATTCATTATTTTCAAATCCTTAACTGTCATTGCCTTCTTTCTTAGACCTCCTCCTCCTCCCTTTCTTTGTATCCTAGTTATTAATTATCCCAGCAAATCCTTTCCATGTTTCATAATATTCTGTCATTACATTACCCTAAACTGTTTTAATCTTATCTTTCTATAATAAAATAAACCTTAAAGCTTAAAACTTAAATCTTATCCTTACCAACTTCTCATAACCATAATATTCTTTCATAATTCTTTAAACATCTTTGCTAAAGCCAAGTAATTTCATTCCAACATTTTTCTAACATTCATCAATTTTATAAAACAGTTCTAATAGTAGAGAAAAGAGATACAAACAAATCCAATCTTCATCCAACGTCCCTTCCTCCTGGTTCCGGGTTTTGTCAGTCCTTATTATCCCGTCGATCTAGCCCATTAACCTGGCAACCTTATATCCGAGGCCCTCAAGTCTCTTCCATGTCCCTTCCGCAGCTCTTTTTCATATTTGTAACTGTATTTTCCCTTGTCTCCTGCTCGTGGTAACTCCAGCTTGACAATGTTCTTAACCCTTCTCGACAGATCAGCCCCATTTCCATATTCAACACTGAATTCCATGTAGTATTTAAAAGCATGTTTCAAAGACCCTCCAAAATTAAGAGCCCCCACAAACCCAAACATCTCACAGCCCATTGCCATATTTGAAAAGTCCAAACGTCCCAGCATAGGGGGGTCAGCCCCCCATTTCCAAGCCAAACCAAACTTTTCCTTTCCAAATCTGGCTTTTTCCAAGTTCATTTGTCAAATCCGAAAACTCATATTCCTGTTGGGCCTGTTCTGTCAAGACACACTCCTGATTTAATTCCTGAGTGGGCTCCACATATTTTCCCACTGTCTGTTCAAAATTTCCCACTGCCTGTTCAAAATTTCTAGTCGAAGTCGCCATCCAATTCACCTTCTCATGTAATTGTTCCAGTAGGGCATTTGTTTTATAGAGAGCACACAACAAAGCTTCTGAATACATTGTCCTGCAAGGTCAAATGCCTGTTCCCACGGTTGTAATCTGTAACAGCTGCCGGCTCCCTGGAGTTGGTTACAGTTTCACAGACTCCCTCTAGGGGGAAAACTTCTATTTGTTCTTGCAACAAAGTTTCCCTTTTTGAGATACTTTGTCAATATATATTCCTTTAAAATGTGAAGGGGAACAGTGGAATCACTATGTTTCTCTTCTTTTAGCTATCTGTCAAAAACACTTGTCTTTGGTCAATGAACTTCAAACATCAGTCCTGACACCCCGCTCCAGGATCAGGATGGAGGAAAGTTACTTTACTTTAAAGTCACTTTAAACAGTCCAAACCCCCCCCCCTTCTCCTGCTGTCGAAGGGGGGTTCCACAATTTTAAATGGTGAAATCCAATCCTTTAAAGACGATTTTCTGAGCTCTAGTTTAAATTGTCTTTGCTTTATTCTGTTTACAAAAGAACGGAAGGCTGACTTCCTGTTTAGACCTTCCCGTTCCGTACCAAATTAGAGTAAGTTTTAAAAATCCAATTCTTTTCTGCTCGCTAGTCCTTATTTGATGTCCAATTGTTCAAAGTCTAAGTACTCACGGGTGCTTATTTTAAAGTCCAAATTGTCCCAGGAAAAAGGCAGTGCTCTCCGGCAACGGCTATGCGGCTTCGCTCCACGGAAATAGCAGTTGACTCACAGCACCGCGCCACTTCCCCCTCTTCACTTCGGAGCCCATTAGTGGGTTCCTTAGCGGGTTGGGGGGGCGCTAATGGTGCCCGCCAAGTCCCATGGTCACAGGCTTCATCCGCCTGTGATTTTTAAAAGGGTCCCCGCTTCCCGCAGAGCTAGTCCCTCCAGTTCAGAGGGAGTCCGCCATTGCCGGTGGCGCCACCCCGGAAGTCTTCGGGAACCCAAAGGCCATCTAACCAAACCCCTGCAATGCAGGAATGGAATAATGAAATCACTGTTTCTTCAAACTTTGCACATTTTGGACCAAACTTGTGACAAATCAGTTGCAGGAAACTGCAGTCAGGATCAGAAAGGGAAAGGGGCCATTTCTTTCCCCTTAAGCTATATTTCTTTTCCAAATTGCCTACACTAACCTGACGTTTTGCCTCTTGGGGAGGGAATATGCCTGCCTGGCCTTTGGCGGCCATATTTTGAGGAGCAAAAAAGAGGACACATTTGCAGACTTCCACTTTTAACTATGGATAACTGTGATGACTCTACCCATGAAAAAGAAGACGTGTCCTGGAAAAAGATGACATATGACAACCTGGATTTGAAAATGGTGGTTTGTTTGTTTTGTTTTGTTTTGTTTTTGAAGAAGAAAATAGTATGCGGGTAAGAGAGAAACACCTTCTGCTCTCATCGTAAATTCCTGCTGCAGATACTAGCTCCTCACAGCTGCTTTAACTTAAGCACACACTTCAGGGAAGACAGTCACACAGCTGAGCACCTCAAGTAGCTTGATCCTCAAATCCAGCAAAGTTGCTTTGAAAGCACAAGTCTGAATGCAGCACACTGGCGATATCTGAAATTTACAACATTCCCCACCAACCAACTTGACTGCAGGTGCTATACTTTTAAGTCCATTGTAGGTAGCTTGGTTGGTATCAGTTGAAATCCCCACCTACTGGATGCCCCCTCACTGGTATCCATGAAGCATGACCTGAAACTGTCCACACTATCTGGCTATATAAAGGAACTCTGTGCTTTTTGTAGTGGCATTATTATACAGCATAGTTACCAGCTATAGTGTAGACGGCTGTCACGACCAACAAGATCACTGTAGAAAGGTAAAGGTTCCAACCAAGGGAGACTTGGATGAAAAGTGCACCAGAGAAAATATCTGTCTGGAACAAATACAAGAAAAAGGACCTTGATACCAGTAGCATCGGATTATGACATCTCTAATAAATATTCTACCTGGAAAATTACAATAAAATTACTCTTGCAAATAATCAAACCAGGCATCAGAAATGCCAGAACCTCAACTGATGCATGTGTTGACAAAAGCTAGCAGAATCCATACCTGGTATCTTTGGACACCTGTCAAGGCTCCATCACCCCAACAGGGCCTATGCTGACACTTGCTCTGCCCCACATATTAAACAAAATCCTGGGCTGGTTGTCCAAGCTGCATCAGGCAGCTAGGTCTCATTGCATTTAAATTTCTCATAAGACCCTGGAGTAATGAGGGTTTTGGGGAGAACATTGCAATGGCAGGTAGATCCAACCATTGCTTACTATCACATAAGCCCACCAGGGCCCATTGATGGAAGAGGGAGACCACCACAGGCCTCCTCCAACATGGAGTGGTAGCCCTGAAAGCTTGTATATAATGTATAGTGAAGGGACTGATCCAGTATTTAGGACTAGTTCAGTGAGGATAGTGGAATGACTTGTCCAAACTGATGACCCATTACGTCCCTGTGAAAGTGCTGTGCTCTACAAGCTACAACTCTATTTCCCCGAGATACATACTGATATCTTGGTGAATATATACAGGATGAGGGACAGTACAGACAGGTAGATTTGAATCCTCTGCCCTCCAAATCTTTTCCTCAGGTATTCAGGCATGGTGACCACTCCCGAAGAGATGTAAACTGGCACAAAGATCCAGCCGAGGACCAGCAATGCCCAGGTGGCCTAACAAGGAAGAAGAACACATGCAATGGATGCCTAGACTTTGTGCAGTGCTACACAGTCAATTCAATGCAACCAATAGTTTATCTAAAAATTGGAAAGGCAAATTGCCAGTATTTCTAATGATTCAACATGTGCTACACAACTGGAATGCCTTGCTTGGTTCCCAGCTACGTGAAGGCAGGGATAAATAGATGCTCGAAGGCCATGGGATTAATGTAAGAATGGAGAAGGAATCTGCCCTACTCAGATTCCAGTGTGAACTCACCTGATCAGTCTGGCCAGATTAGAAGAATGATCCACTTCAGAATCAGCAGGTTGGCAGATTCTATTAGTGGTCCAGTCCCATCTCCCTCTTTAAGCGTTGGAGGCAGTTGTGGGGGTTTTTTCTGTACAATTCCCCCCAGGAGCAATGGAACGTCATTAAGCATTGTCACTGCAAGGGAGACTTGCTCTGTCTTCACTCAAGGCACGTGACAGCAAAAAGACTAGCTGCTCAGGCTATGGAAGGCTAGCAACACACTTTCAGAAAATGAGGGAAGTGAATGCAATGCTCAGACTACTTCATAAGATGCTTCTAAACACATATTGCTAATGTGTGCTTGCAGGTGGAATTTAAAAATATACCTGGAAATGGAACAGAATATACTTAGTCTTGTCACTTCTGAGAACTGGGATGGACTGGGCTTCTGTGAGTCCACCCATCCCTAGACAGATTGGAGTAAAGATGAGAATGGATACAATCTTTGATCAGTACTTTTCAAAAGACAAGGGTGAATCACAAAAGCCATGGGTGTGGGCTGCCAGAAATAGATCCTGGGCAAAAGGAGATTTCAGGGTTTGGAATGTGATCACTCCCAAATGAAATGGGTGCCAACGCTGCGGTAGTGTTAAAAAGGTTATGACTGCTGTTCAAGTTCACAAAGTACGATGTGATTCTGTGAACTGCTATACTGAGGCAGGAGAGCCAGCTATAGGATAGAGCACTATGGCCCCACTCTATCTGGTATTATTATTATTATTTATTATCATATACTGCCATTCATCCCAAGATCTCAGGGCAAATCACAAGATAAAAATACAAAAGAAGAGGCAGAACAAATTGTGGTTTTGGCAGCACTGGGAGCAGACACAAACCATGCAACAGCCATTGTATCTCCTCTATCTCCTGCCCTTGAAAAGGTACAGTTGTGCCAGAAAAGGAGAATTACATCCTTCTTTGTCAGGGCATATGAATGGGGTATTGACCTTTCTCACCTTCTGTGAATATTTTTGACCGGCATATGTCATGAAGGCCAGCACAAATATATAACTGTGGAAACAGAACCAGTATGGTGTTGTGGTTAGATTCCTCTAGGATCCAGAAGACCAGGGTTGAAATCCTCACCCAGCCATAAAGTTCACTGGGTGGCCTTGGGCCAGTCACTGTCTGCCAGCCTGAACTACCTCACAAGATTGTTTGTGAGGATGAAATGAAGAGTTGGGGTAAAAGTTGGGATATAAATGTAAGAGAAAAGAAAGCCAGCTACTTGCCAGGCATAGGATAAGGTCAGCCTTTGCCATCTTGGTGCCCTCCAGATGGTTTGGACCACACTGTAGTCTAAAACATCTGGTGGGGTGTTTTAAAACATTTTAAAGTGAAGGCTGGATTCAGACTTAACACGGGGGTGGGGAAACTATGGTCCTCCAGATGTTGTTAGACCAGGCATAGGCAAACGCAGCCCTCCAGATGTTTGGGGACTACAATTCCCATCATCCCTGACCCCTGGTCCTGTTAGCTAGGGATCATGGGAGTTGTAGGCCAAAAACATCTGGAGGGCTGATGCCTGTTTTAGACTCTGACATCTGGAACTCTATGGGTCTGCCACCTCTGCTGAAACGTTGCACATCAGGGCTCACACTGCTGATGGGATCATCAGCCAAGCAATGGGATCAGGCTGCTTGAAGGTGAACACTGCTGATAGCTCAGAAGAATGCTGCCTTATTCTGGAGCCCTCTCTTTCATCCCACATCATTGTTCTAGCCAGAGTGAACTTTGTTGCAACAGGAGGTATATTACTGGGTGACCTTTTGCACCAAGAGGAGTCATTCATCTTAGAGACAGCCAACCTGCCGGTTTTGTTGGCAGCAGAGAAGCTCACACATCCCTCAGGACAGCTGCAGGCCTGCGCTGTGAGTGAAGCATTGTCACTGCATGCAGCACCAGCTCCTCCAGTAGCAGCATAGCCATGATCTTCAAACAATGCTAGCACAGAGCTAGCCTCTTTCGGTTTACTTCTCCTGCGTTCTTCTGCCTTTCTGCACACCCTCTTGAAATATATAGAAGTGGGAACCACATTACCTCTCAGCTACCATAAATACTATATTATCATCATGATAATAACGTGAATTTGATGAAAGTTAAAAGGCACTTGTCATTTAAAACATTTTTTCCCCACAAGATAATCCTCTTATTTTAGAAACTCTGTAGGAGTTTATTGCAGGAATGTATTAATACAACTGACGTTTGCTGCAAGTGACTATTATGAATCAACATTTGCTCGAAGACAGTTTCACATTTAGGAGTAGAATACTGCCATTAGTAGTGTTCATGTTAGCATCCTTTTCAATTTTGAAACAAATTTGCCCCAATACTTTCTAAAATCCATAGCGGTGAACTAGAGAATAACTTATCCACTAAACATTTGTTTTTAATCCTTGGCACCAACCCTTTACTTGACATTCCTCATTTGGCAACTCTGGGAGAGAGTACAAATAGCTAGAACAATTCCTACCAACAAGAAATGACCAAGGGTACATGGTAAAAACTAGGGGCTCATTCTCCCATCTGGCTAGGGCAGATAGATAGTAAACTATAATGCCAAACTACTTTTGTCATATATACATATCCACTTTGTCATATATACATATCCAGCTAAGGTTGCCAGATTCAGACCAAGAAACTTGTTTTAAGAGTTCCAAGGTCGCAAGTGACACCAGCCAATGAAACAGTGGCACCACGCACCTAGATGGCACTGCAGGCTAAAGAAGATGGGGCAGTGGTCAAAGAGCCTCTTTCAATACCATGATGCTATATACAATCTTTGTGACTCAGTGCTCTTAATGCTATAGGCACTGTTTCAAGACCTACAACAGGCAATCCTACATCTAATTCATTCATTCTTGCCAGATAGAATCATCTCCCCTTTCTCCATGCCCCCATGTGCTGTTCTGGTGGTTCTCCTGATCCTCTTGAGCAGATTTGGGGAGGTAAGTGGGTCATGTGGGTCTTATTGCCCTGGCTTTGGCTAGCACAAATGAATCCAGCCCAATGTTTCAAAAAAATAAAAATAAAAAATAAATCTGAAGCTACAGAGGTTTCCAAGTTTCAGACTGTTGTTTGTTCTAGGAAAATGTGCTCTAGCATTAATTTTATCCTGCTTATTTACATTGGAATGTGCCACACGAGCCTACTAACGTTTCTGCTGAAATCAGTTACGCATTTCCAATTGTCTTGTTGGAGATACAATAAAACTCAGGCATTGGGGAGTACCAGATAACCTCTTCACTTGACTAAGCTGATGCCCACACCCACATCCCTTGTCAAGAGCAAGTTGAATCCTTCAAGGACATCTTACGTTCCACTCAAAGCCCCCAACGGCCAAGCCTCCTGCAGCTCCTGTGCCCGCCAGGCCGATAAATAAGCCACTCCCCACATTGCTTGACATCAGGGATGCTCCAATCTAAAACACAAAATGCTGCCGTTAGTTGATAGAAAAAGGTCAGCTGTATGTTCTATCTGTGGCGAGAAAGCATAGAGTTCACACCTCAAAATCTAATTTCCCTGTTTCAAAACACAGACTGCATGATTCATCCTAAGATCATCGGTGATGGAGATTCCTACTTTACTGCTCTGAGTGTTTGGCTGCCAATACTTGGACTACTCAAATGCCATAATCTTTTAATCTGCATAATTAAGCATAAATTGGAGGAGCTGACTGCATGTTTTTCCTCTGTTTATTTCTCTGCTATATATTTTGGAAAGCTGTTTGTTTGCTACACATCTGGGCACCTCCTATGATATCGTAACCAAATTTTACATGATGGTTCCTGAGAACAAGGAGTGGATTTTTGCTTATGTTTGGGTACAATTGGACACCATTTTAAATCAAGATGGTGGACTGACCCTTTCAAAACCGTGCTGATTTTTTGGCTTCCTAATTTTTCAGAATTTCTGAGAATTGTCAGGTATTAGGCTGCTAGCTTGTATCTATATACGCCTCATTTCTCCCCAAGGTGAATTTCTATCTTGGTTTGTCTCCCTTATTCCTCCTTGTTCCAAGGAGCAAAATGTCTTAGGATGGCCCCTAGTGGTTGTTTGTGTGCACTTTTAAAAGGTACACATAGCTACTAAAGGCCATGCACACCCCAAACTAGTCTCAACGTGGGAGTGATAATGTCAGATCAATCAGCTGGCCTGGTCACTTGAAAACTGATCAGGCCATCCCATCTTCTGGGTGGCCAATCATGGAGGATGTCACACAAAGCCTCATTCAACTGTACTGCTTCCTACACTTCAGGTTAATCATTGCTAATTGGCCAAACCAGCTGAACATGAAGCTCCCAACCAGCCAAACTTTTAAGTCTGCTACATGTACAAATATGAATACACAGATATGGATAATGTGCATAAATAGTGGCACTGCCAAGAGGAACAAGGTTGCACAATATGTAATGATGTTTTAAGAATGTTGTAACTGTGTTGAAAACAAAAATGGTGGTGCAAATTTTGAGTCTACGCTTTTCAGATGGTTAATAGCTGAGCAGCGTGATCCACCAATGGTGATCATGCATTTTAGCCACTTAACATCTGCAAAGGACAAATGCTTTTCAAAGTAAATATATAAAATAAACACATATAAATATTTATCATGTAATAATCAATTTTTCATTGTAATATATTCATTATAATGAAGGAGACCTTCAAGGATTCACCAAAGTTACATGAATTGATGTTTTCTGCAATGTAAAGACAACTTGATTCAAGTCAAGCGTCATAGCCAATCCGGAGCATCTCAAACCCGGGACTCTGGAGCAGGGGCAGGGTGGAACTGGATCATGTCTTATATGAAAGAATGCAGGACATATCTGCGGGCAAATATTTATACTGCATGCTGGAAGCTTCAGCTTGGCCTGCCATGAAGGAAAATATTGCCTTGACAAGCAATGGGGCACCCAGCCCAGCAGTGTGTGTTCAAAGTAGGTGGCTCTGTTTGGTTAAAAATATACAGAGTGTAAACTGTGAAAGGTTAGAGACTGTGAAATACCTTGGGTTTATTTTAACAGTGCTGTTACTGAGGAGAAGATATGAAAATGTAGACGTAAGTTATGAGGCACACCTCAGGTTGTATCCAGTACATATTGGCTGTGTACTGTTATTTCCTGATGTGATTGCAAGAAATATTTTTTGTTATTTTCTTTTTTTTAAAAAGGAAAGCGCTTGTGTGACTAGAGATAACTTATGGCTTTTGACCCCATAGGTTTATATCACAGAAATGTAGGTGCTTCGTCCATTCCAGATGTCTCTGGACAATATTCCTGAATGCTTACTCCTTATGTATATGTGAAAATAAGAAGACTCAACAACCTAACAAAATACTAGGGGAAAGGATTCCAGACTAGTCTGCTCCATTTTCCTAATTTTCTACCTGTTACTGGACCAATGTGACACTACTCCCTTGTTGCTGTTTGCTTTCAACACTTACACTTTTATTTTTTGTAATCCAGCATTTTCAACATTACTGGGTTCCCACCCCCCATAAAAGGTATTGCCTCACTTGCTCTGTGATTTTCCTTTTCCAAGTAGCAGGTCTTTCTGCCTCTTTCGCTGCTGAGCCCTAAGCAAAGATTTATGGAATCTGACCTGCTTCTCACCTTTGGGATAGTTAAAATATTAATGCGAGATAAGACTGAAAACCTTTCCTGAAGCAAACACTTGCAAACATCTCATCTGGGAAGCCTCTGATTGAAAGACTAACGGCTACAATACGCATTCATATCTTGGGTAAACAGAAAGGCTCCCAAGAAATGTAAACACTTTCCTTAAGACACATGTCCTTATTGTAGTAGACAGTATAAAAGAGGCGACGTAAAGCCATGTAATACAATGCCACAGTGGCCTTAAGTAACCAGTTTATCATTTTCCTAGCAGCAGTTGGGTCTAAACCCATAATGCGCTCCCTATATCCTGGAACACAGAGGCAGTAAAAGGATGTTGTGCGGCGATTCATCCTCTACCAACAGTTCCTCCAGGTTTGGGGGAGAAAAAGTCACACTAATCAGCCTGAGACAGAGTTAAGAGTTTAGGCAAACATTACTTCCTATCCCAAAACAAGGCCTGTTATGATTTAGGTAATGGTCCTCTCAGCCCCAAAGTGAAACCCTGGAAAGGGAATTGCTTCATAACTAAGGCCTCATTGGCACAATACATGCCACTTTACACAGTCATGGCTTTCCCCAAATAACCCTGGGAACTGTAGTTTGTTAAGGGTGCTGAGAGTTGTTAGGTGATCCCTATTCCTCCACCGCCAGAGAGCTACAATTCCCAAAGTAGTTTAACAACCAATCCCTCTTCTCTGGGAACTCTGTATGCAGCCTTTCCACATTATTGAACCCAAACTCTGGTAACCCACAGTGTAGGTGATCTGCAAAAAGTTGAAGGTAGTGTATAATGTGAGATTTCCTGCAACAGGAGCAGGATTATTAGATCAAGTCTTCATTTAGAAAGGACACTTAGGAGGCATCCCAAATTAAACTCTCCATGTTGCTAGATATTTTAATCATGGTTTTATTATATTTTGTGTCTTGCTGTTGCTGTTAGCTGCCCTGGGCTTCCATGGGATACCAAAACAAGAAATAAATAAAATGAAGAATGCTAAACAGCCATCTTACTCAGGGTGATGGGAATCCAAGCCTCTGCTTGGATTCAGTTCCCAGGAAGTTTTGTCCCCCCTAAAAAAACTAAGTCCAGCAGGAACGATGATGGGGACACTTGACTTCTTGGCAGCCCCTTAAATTTCCTGCAATGAAACTGTAGAGGCTACAGCTAAGCCAATGCTTACATGTCACCTGGGAGAAAGTGAATCACAAAGCGCATTAGAACAATAACCAGGTGCGAGTGCGTGTCTCCAGGGGAGAAAACGTAGCCTATGGAATTTACAATTAATGTTGGAGTTCAAAACTGCATTCAGCTTGCAGTTAAACACTTGCAAGATCTACAGCTTTGTGTTCTTTTGTGACAGGGCAAAAAGGATATTTACTCCTCTGACACTTATTTCTCTGGGTCTTTAAATTATTGTTATATTACCTTTCTGCTCCAAAGAAAATGTGTCCTTCAAAAGGTTTATGCCTTTCCAGTGAATCATTTTGGAGATTTATATCTGGGTGGTTTAGTGTGGAGAGTTGCAGTCCTAACACAGTTGCTCAATAAATGAAGAAGTTACTAGACAGTGCAAAAGAGACTCCTGCCGTTGTTTCATGAGAGGAATGGGAACTGCTCTTGAACTTGAGTTAATTTTCATTTTTATTTGAAAAAGGTCCTGTTTTTGTTTTTATCTTTAGGGTTGTTGGATGTGCTAGATTTTTTTAAAAGAAATTGGCTCTCTTATTTGCAACAACAATGCCACTTTGCAAAAGCCTGATGTTACCTGATATATATTAAATTCCAGAATTGAAACGCTTCATATGTTCCCAGCAATATGGCTGCTTGAAATAGAGAAGAGCTCCTCCCTTGTTTATTGCTGTTCCTAAAGACTTTGCACCAGGGATGGGGAACCCAAGGCCTTCACATGTTAGTAGACTCCAGCTCCCATCTTTCCTGACCATTGCCCATGCTGGCTGGGACTGATGGGAATTGGAGGGCCATGGGTTCCTTATCCCTGCTTTACATCACCGGTGGTTCATTTGGTGCATGAGAATTTAACAGTGCAATCCTGTGCATGAATTGAGTTTCAGTGTGTCCACTAGGACTTCCCTTGAAACAGTGTTTTGGCGTCAATTGCCATATTCACATCCATATTCACTCACAAACACACACTCCTGCATACTATGTATTTTAAAAACTGCCCTAAAGTTTTAAATCTTCAATATGTATTTCCTTCAGTGCTTGCTGTACTAATTGCTTTGCAACCGTGCAACAAGGCTATGATTTGTGATGCTGAGAGTGCAGCAGTTGGCACAACCTTCCTAGCTACATATTTGTTACAGCAGGAAAGATATGCCACATTCTTCCTTTCTTATCACCCCCACCCTCACCACTTTCCTCCTACAGCTAGTGCAGCGTTCTTTCATTTGTTTTTCACCACAGCAAGGATCATCCCAGTTTCATCTTCCCTCTTTCTCAGCCTTCAACTATCCCTTGACATCTGCATATATGTCAATTGCTTAAACCACACTGTAAGGAATACTGCTTTTCAAACAGAGATAGCCTACATGGTGCCCTCAATATGCTGATGGATTCCAGCAGTACTTTTCTTCTAGGGGAAAAAGGTGCCAGAACTGCGTACCCTTGAATACCCCCTGAAAGAAAAGCACTGGATTCCAGCTCCCATCAGCTCAGACAACAAGCCCAATGGTGATTTGGTGATGGGAGTTTTACTCCAGCAACATCTGGAAGGCTGGCCACCTCTGATCAAGAGTAATGCAACCAACTCGGCACCCCCAGATGTTCTTGGACTCAGCGCCCATCAGCTCCCACCATTACACTGCCTGGGACTAATGGGAGCTGCAGTCATCTGCAACATCTGGCAAAGGCTGTTCTCAAGCTGTGGGTTATTACATACTTACCGGCCACCATGTCATGGATCTTCCAGCCAAGAAATAGCCTCCAACTGTTCCCCGACTGGCTCGAAGAGAAGACTGAAATGAAGAGGGGGAAAATAATGGCTTTGCAGCTCTGAAAAGCACAGCTGCACACAGATTTATGCCCACCTAGGACCTTAGATGGGGGGAAAAGGGAGGAAACCTGGCTCTGTTCTATGCAGCCAAAAGGAAAAGAGATGTTGTTAAATAGGAGCATCACTACAGTGCTATGTTGTTCAGTGAAGAGGCTTTTGTTAAAAACAAGAGACATCTAGCACCTCTAGTCATTGCAGAACAGCTGACTTACCCATATTCCAACAGCAAGGACAAAGGCGAAATAAAGGACGACAACAATGATGTCTGGCACTTCAAAGGCAAGTTTCTTCTCTTCAGGCCTGGCAGTGGGTGGCTCAGTAGTGGCTGGTGTTTGGCTCATGACTGCCCCAAAAGGTGTCGCCTGTTGCCTCTTTATCTCACAATGGACTTCGGCACACGTTTCTCTTCATTACTCCCTTTTAATAATAATTAACCGGGTTGAGAAAGTGAGAATGTTGATGAAGAAGCAGGCAGGTCCATCAAAATAGACATTTCGCACGTTGCAGCTTTGGTACACTGTATGGATCTGTGCTGTTCAGCTGTAATGTTTGAACCAGCTGAACAACTTTTTCGTCACAGCTGTTTCTCACACATATGCATTGTGTGCTGGAATTTTTAGAGAGAGTTGTGGCCAATTCAAAAATTTCAGCCGTAGCAGGTGCATAACATGAATCCATAAACCAAGCCTGCATAACCTGGCTTGATATGTCATTAATTGTGTGGATGAGACCAAGTTTCTAACCCCATTTCAGTTCAGGCTCCTGATAAATGAATGACCTTTGTTGATAGAGAGGACCCCCCTTTGTTGATCAACAGGGGGCGTGCAACCCTGTTGATTCTTCTTGACCTCTCAGTGGCAGAACATTGTGTGACTTTTGCTTGGCCCCATGGGCTTCTGAATGGCTTCCCATAAGCCATCTTGAAGTGATTTACAGTATAAACAGGTAACCTGGTAGCAATCTCTAGCTTAACGTTTTGAAGAGAAGAACATATTAGAAATAAAGGCAGAATTTCTACACTCCCCTCCTGGCTGATCCCTCCAGTTAAGGCACAAACAGAGATTAGGAGAAGAAAAGTCTTGTAGTAGAGATTTGCTATACCCAGAAGTGGATCATTTGTTGGTGCTTTCTGGCAAGTTTGTTGCTGCTGCTTCCTGGGAGTTGGGTTGGAAAGGACCCTGAGAGTCATCTAGTCCAATTTCTTGCAGGAATCTCCACTAAAGCATCCATGACAGATGACCAACCTCTGGTTAAAAACCTCCAATGAAGGAGGCAAGGAGATCAGAGCAGTGAGGGTGTTTTGGTGGGAGCACCAGATTGTCTCTGCTGGTATGCCCACATACCCTGGCCTCTCAGCCATCTTTCCTCTCTCCTGGTGGGTGGCAGAGGCTGGGAAGCTAGCTTTGCAGCTCTGCCTCACAGAGTGAGCCACTTCTGGCTGTAGCTCTTGGGCTCAGGGCTGCTGCTCTAGAGTTAGATTCAAGTTCAGTACTAACATCTTTTAAATAGGTACCGTATTTTTCGTTCCATAGGACGCTCCGTCCCATAGGACGCACCTACTTTTTTGGGGGGGAAATAAAGGAAAAATTTTTTTCCTTTATTTCCCCCCCCAAAACCAGGTCGGGGAAAAGTGGGATGGCGGCGCTGCGCCTCCCCGTTGTCCCCCGAGCTTGTGGGGCTGGCCATGTCTGCCCGGCGTGAGGGGCGCTCTGCTTCAGGGCGCCTCACGCGCCGGGCGGCAGGCTGCAGACACCTGCGCGAAGCACGGGGCGTCCTCCAGAGGGCGCCCCGTGCTCCGCGCTGCAGGCTGCCGCCCGCAAGCCTTGAGCTCCCGGGGGGAGATCCCCCGGGCGCGCAAGGCTTGCCGACACCTGCGCGGAGCACGGGACGTCCTCCGAGGGCGCCCCGTGCTCCGCGCTGCAGACTGCCGCCCGCAAGCCTTGCGCTCCCGGGAGATCCCGGGTGCGCAAGGCTTGCGGACACCTGCACGAAGCACGGGGCGTCCTCCGGAGGGCGCCCCGTGCTCCGCGCTGCAGGCTGCTGCCCGCAAGCCTTGCGTTCCCGGGGCAGATCCCCCGGGCGCGCAAGGCTTGCCGACACCTGCGCGAAGCACGGGGCGTCCTCTGGAGGGCGCCCCGTGCTCCGCGCTGCAGGCTGCCGCCCGCAAGCCTTGCGCTCCCGGGGGGAGATACCCCGGGTGCGCAAGGCTTGCCGACACCTGCGCGAAGCACGGGGCGTCCTCCGAGGGCGCCCTGTGCTCCGCGCTGCAGGCTGCCGCCCGCAAGCCGGGCGCGCCCAGGGGCGATCGCCCCCTGGGCGCGCACGGCGGGCGGGCCCCTGCGCGACGCACGGGGCATCCGCCGGAGGGCGCCCCGTGCGCCGCGCTGCAGGCTGCTGCCCGCAAGCCTTGAGTGCCCAGGGGAACTCCCCCCGGGTGCGCAAGGCTTGCAGATAGCTTCCTGGAGCCTGAAGAGCGAGAGGTGTCGGTGCGCACCGACGCCTCTCGCTCTCCAGGCTTCAGCGAAAGCCTGCATTCGCTCCATAGGACGCACACACATTTCCCCTTCATTTTTGGAGGGGAAAAAGTGCGTCCTATGGAGCGAAAAATACGGTAAGTAGAAGAGGATAAAGCAGGATCAATATTGGGCAATGGAATAACCCAAGTTATTTGAAGGTGGTGGTGGTGGGGACTGATTCCAGATCTGGTTATCTCTAATATTGCCCAAAGCAGTGGTCTCCATTAGACAAGCTATCTCTCTTCCATGACACTCTGACATTGGATGCATCTTCTTAGAAACAGCAAGCTTTCTCCAGCCCCCTTCCTTGGCATTTAAATACTGACAGCTGCAGCATCTCGTTGCAAAGCACATTTGCTGACGTGGCTGTACCACAGCTCGTGAGTCAGGGCAGGAGGGGGAATGTAGTTTAGCTCTGTGTGTCAGAGGGTTGAATTGCACCATAATTACTTTATTGATAATTGTTATGGAAACAGCTGTTATGCGGGCTTGACTGGTACACAGAACTACGGAAGATTGTGAAACCAAAACAAGGCTTGCCACATATAATGCTAGCCCTGTCCCCAAAGTCTGGTTGTCAGAGCTTCCTCTTTAGCATAGATTCTCCCATTTTCAGATGGGGAGCCATTTTATGCCGCAATTTAGATGGCTTCCTTGGTTCTTACAGACACAGGGTGAGTCGTTTCTCCTTCAAGTGGGGTGGAGGTGATGACAACCCTCCCAGCTAGCTAGCCAGCCTTCCGTCACGCACAGAAACAGAACTTAGAGATGTTATGCTTACTGAACTCAGTGGGATTTAATTTTCAGTAAATGGTCACAGGCGCTAGCTATAACACTGTTTCACCAATCCTAATAAAATAGTTTCTCAAATGGCAATTTAGGAACCGTAAAGACAATGGTATCTATGCATTCATGGGTAGCACAGCACCATCTTGTGGGTAAAGTGGTAAAAAATAAAATCTGCTCTAACATTCAGTCTGGATTATTTTTCTTCATTGGGGCCATCTACGTTTCCCCTCTGCTTTCATGTTCTCTGTGAACAGAGTATATGCACTCTGCACCTTGAAGTAGGTTGGCGATGATTGTTTGCACGTCACACTTGTAAAGGACTTCCAGTTAACCTTTCACAATAGCAACACATTTCTTCATTAAACAAACACTGGTAGCGCCACAAAAAAATGAACAAGGACAATTGTGGAAGAGAAGAAAGTGTACCAGCTGAGCAAGGTAGAATAGGAGAAAGCACATCCTGTTAATGGAGTGTTTCTGCAGCCTAGCACCGGTTAAAATGAAAAAGAAAAAGCATCTAAGGGGATGCTTCCTACCTTTATAATAAATAAATTCCCACTGGCAGTCCTACTCACAGTCACAGGATTCTCTCCTTGTGGAGGTCTTAATATGTAGCCAGATAACAGCAACAGAGATGCTGGCAGGTGGGCAACCTGAGGATTTCATATAGCTTTGACATGACCTCCTGGGCACCTCCTCATGTTGCTCAATCTTCCATTCTCTCATAGTTCCCTCCTCCTTTTCTTTTTGCTTCCTCCTTATTTTCAAAAAGTGTTCCCTCATCTTTCTATGCATTTTCAGGACAATTGAAAGGGGCAATATTGTCCAACTTGCGGGGCAGGGATAAATTTTTCTCTTGCTGTCTGAGAATAAATTGGTAGACTTCTGCCATTTGTGTGTATAACACAGTAAAATCAGAAAGGAAGTACTTTCCCTAGATTTCTAGTTCAGGAGCTGTATTGGTCTGCTGTACTAACTGTTCTGCATTCCTATTACAGGGCTTACTTCTGACAGACCTGCATGGGATTAGGAATTCTGATCTGGCATAGACATGGTGACAACTGAATCAGGAATGTCATTTTTTTGAAATTAGTTAGTCCAGCATCTTTTTGTCTCTGACAGCTTTGGTTCAATCCACCACTGGCAAGCAAACGTCCAACAGATTTTTCCCCAAAACACTGCAGCAGAAATAAGGTTCTGAATAGATTTCGATAGAATAAAACCAAAGGGTTCCATCCCAAGAACAGGAAAAGGAAGCAAAGATCAGCAATTTAGACACAAATTTCCCACATTGTTACTAAATCACACAAGTCAGCTTTTAGGTTACTTATTAAGATTGCATAGGTGAGCTTGCAGGAATGGAAGCCACCATCAAATAATGAAGCAGCATTTTCTTGAACAAGGAGCCCAAACCATGTTTTTTTTTGCTGAACAACCTATTTAAACATTAACGTAATGTCGTGAATGAGTCGCCATCTCATTTCTTTAAGCAGCTGAAAGGGAGGTTTTAGGGAAATAGTTTTATGATGCCTTTCCAGAAATATTATTTGAACCACTGTGTGACTTATAGGCAACCTTTGCTTTTTCACTACAATGATTTCTGCAAGAACCATTAGCAAACTGTAAAATCTTATCTACGTGATGCACCTTGAGCATAGCTAAGCTCTGAAATACTATTGTGTTAAATAGTAACTCCAGCATCATACAGGTCTTTCAAGAAGCACGTCTACAAACATCTGTCTACAGGTAAGATTTAGGACACTCAGGTCTTGAAGATCACACAATGTGAATATATGGCAAAAGGATACAGACCTATATCCATACTGCTTTAGCAATGGGGGGGGGGGGAGAGAATCAGGAAAAATCAAAGGATACATAGCTCCAGACCAGACCCAATGGAGTCTGTATCCTAATCTGAAAACAAACAATGACTGCATACCTACCATACATTTAAAGCACCAACCCCAAAAATCCTGGAAACTGTAGCTTATCCCTCGTAGTGCTACAATTATCAGCATTCTTGAACTACCATTCCCAGGATTCTTGGGGGGGGGGGCATGTATGCTGTGCATAAAATGTATGCTGTGCACAAAGCCAACAGCAGCAGTTGGTATCATTAGGTATTGCTAATGTGAGGAAATGACATTAAAGTAGCCAGGTGTTCTACTTTGCAGAACACGAACCGAAGAACCTTCTAATAGAGGATCAACACTGGTTGAAAGATAAAGACCCCTAAGAAATGAGAACAGGGGCCTTAAAGTAACCCATCTTCAGTTAGCAGCTGAATGGCACATACATGAGGTCACAGTCTTCCTCATTATGGTGAGATACATTGCATTTTTATTTAACTTATAGTATTACAGTGGTACCTTGGTTTTCGAACTTAATCCATTCTGGGAGTCGCTCCGACTCCCGAAACTTCGAAAACCAAGGCACGGCTTCCGATTGGCTGCAGGATCTTCCTGTACTCAAGCAGAAGCCGTGTCGGATGTTCAGCTTCCAAAAAAAGTTCACAAACCAGAACACTTACTTTCAGGTTTGCAGCATTTGGGAGCCATTTTGTTTGGCAACTAAGCCGTTCAGAAATCAGGGTTCCACTGTGTTTATTTCCTTAAATTTACATATATGCATGTGCATATATATATATATGGTGGTGGTGGGGATAAATGACGTCCCTACACATCACAGACTGAAAACCTCAGAACCCAGCTCAGTCTTTGCTCAATGAATGAGGCCTTTCTGCTCCCCTTTCCTCCAAATCGCATCAGAGGCTGAAGGAAGGGGTGGCTTGCCCATCTCCATTCAAGACACAAAGGCTTCTGTTTCACTGAACTCTTGAATATCACTACATGTAAGTAGAAGCTGGGTACCATAAGAACGATGATTTCCTAGTGTTTCTAGTCTTCTGGCATGCATTGCACGTTCAAGGGACTGCTTGCTTACAAAGTCTCCCAGAAGCATGTGGCGCTGGCAATCGCACCCTCCTGGCCATGCCATCACTCTCCGTAAGTACTGGGAAGTGGGCCAGGTAGGTACCTATTCACAAGATGACAGCTACAGGATTTGTGAGCTGGTAAAGCACTCCCATCCATGTGTGGTGCATCTGGGAAAATTGGGTGCCATGGAAAATGCAATTCTGCCAGCTCCACCTGGCTGTCTACCAGCTCCACCTGGTATGCAGGCTGAGACCCTACCTGCCTGCGGACTGTCTTGCCAGAGTGGTGCATGCTCTAGTTATCTTATGGTGCATGCTTTAGTTATCTCCTGCTTGGACTATGGCAATGCGCTCTACATGGGGCTACCTTTGAAGGTGACCCGGAAACTGCAATTAATCCAGAATGCGGCAGCTAGACTGGTGACAGGGAGTGGCCACCAGGACCACATAACCCTGGTCCTGAGAGATCTGCATTGGCTCCCAGTACGTTTCCGAGCACAATTCAAAGTGTTGGTGCTGACCTTTAAAGCCCTAAACGGCATCGGTCCTGTATACCTGAAGGAGCGTCTCCACCCCCATCATTCAGCCCAGACACTGAGATCCAGCGCTGAGGGCCTTCTGGTGGTTTCCTCATTGCAAGAAGTGAGGTTACAGGGAACCAGACAGAGGGCCTTTTAGGTAGTGGTGCCTGCCCTGTGGAACGCCCTCCCTTCAGATGTGAAGGAAATAAGCAGCTATCTTCTCTTTAAAAGACATCTGAAGGCAGCCCTGTTCAGGGAAGTTTTTAATATTTAATGCTGTATTGTTTTTAACACTTGATTGGAAGCCGCCCAGAGTGGCTGGGGAAACTCAGCCAGATGGGCGGGCTATAAATAATAAATAATTCTCCTTCTTCTTCTTCTTCTTCTTCTTCTTCTTCTTCTTCTTCTTCTTCTTCTTCTTCTTCTTCTTCTTCTTCTTCAACAGGTGCCCCACTTCAACCAGAAAGGAGATCTGGGGCACGTGGGACAAGATATTAATAACTCTCAGATATTTAATGGCCAGAAACAATGTACTGTATTGCCATTTTGGTGACATTCTTATTGTTCCGTAATAATTGTAGCAATGTTGTCAACAGAGTTCAGACTGTGCTAGCAGTCTACAACAAGACCGTGGGTAAAACCATTCATTTTTATTTCATTTTATTTCTTCATTCATTAAAATATTTATATACTATCTACTACCTCAGCTTCAAGGTGGCGGTCAATGGCGTCAGTATTAAACTGCATCAGTACTGAAAGCATTATACAGAATAAAACACAGCTGATAACTCAAGCAGAGCTAAAATAAGGTAAAATAAACTAACCTATAGAAATAAAGCAGCAACCAAGTTCTGGGAAAATAAATGCAATGGTTACACAAGAGCTTGGGTTGGTGGAAATGTGGTAGAATTTCCTTTTCTTTTCTGTACAAATTGTACATATGAATACAAGCTGTCCAACTGCAGAACCCCTTGCACAAGAGGAGACACTTGAACAGGACAATCTGCAAGGATGGGGAACCTGTGGCCCACCAGATGCCATTGGACTCCAGTTCCCAGCAGCCCCTGCTAGCTTGGGCAATGATAAAAAACAGTGGGAGCTGTAGTCCACAAAACTCATGGAGGGCCGCAGGTTCCTTATTCCTGAGCGAGTGAAACAAGTTCATTGTCAATCTTTTTAAACTTAGCACTACATTGGATACAACCCAAAGAAATTGCAGGGGGTTGGACTAGATGATCCTCGGGATCCCTTCCCACTCGACAATTCTATGATTTTATATGCTGCAGGGTTTCCCAAGCCAGCATTCTTCTTTCCCTTACTTATGTCCTGCTTGCCCTGCCCTTCCACAGCTCCTGAGTCACTCGCAACTCCTGTTGCAGATTGAAAGCAAAGTGCACCTCACAAACAACAACACAGTCATTTCGTGATTCATAAGTGCTCCTTTCAAAATAATAGCTGAGAAAGATGTATTTTTATCTTGCAAGATACTAATAGCAAAGCTATTAGGGGAGAAGAGCCATACATCCAGAGCTTTTATAATTGGAAAACATCAATACTGCATAGTGGCTTTATAAAATTTTGCTACAAATGTTCCATAGGATGGGTTCTATTGTTAGAATGCCTATTTCTTCCCAACTAGCAACTGATAAATTCAACCCTGCTATGGTATCTTTAGGATAATCCTGGCCCCTTGAATGATGCCAAGTTCTACAATACCTTGAGCTTCTGTCTCCTTCTCTCTTGTCCTTTTCCTCCTCCTATTGCCTCACCTTACTTTTGGCTCATCTTAAAGTGGACACACCTCACTTGGACACTCCTCGCTAGCACTCCTTTATGTGTGCTTGAGGCAGCCTACATTTCTCCTCCCTCCCTCTCACCCCTGTGTTTGATAACTTGAAGCCGGGGCTGAATGACATTTGCTTTGGCTTGGATTATTTACATGCACTGTGGTAGTTTCATTCAAAACCACCTGACCAGAAAAACCACTCACAGTCGATCAGACTCCACCCAAGACCAGTTGCAGATTACCACAGATTACCTAGCTCAACGTCTGTCAGATGAGCACCTGCATCGACTTCCTGAATGTGTGTTTGCCTCATGACACCTTAAAAAGGTGAATAGGCATTTACTCAAGGAGAGGTTTTGCCACTGCCTCCTTCAAGGAGGCAGGGACCAACCCCTCTCTAGCAGCGGATTTAGGGCAGTGTGGGTGCTTCCCCCACGCAGAGCACTGAGCTGAAAGGGGCACAAAAATGAGAACATCCATAATTGAGAAGATCCATTTGAGGGTGCTAAATTTTGGCCTTGCACAGGGAGCCATGTTACAAAAGACTGCCAAACTCTACCCCTGAAACATTTGAGCCTTACTAAACTGCTGGAGAAGTCCTTCTGGAAAGTGGCCCGTGCCTGTTGGTTGCTTACATTAGTGATCTGCATTAAAGAAGAAGAGGATAATTTCCTCTTTTCTGGTGGTAAACATCAAGAAAGTAGAGAAACAGGAGTGACTTGCTCTGGTGCTCTTCCATCAAAAGGTGCTTGTTCCCCAGCCAAATACCTGGGCAATCCCTTTTGGCAAGTGAATTATTAGTAGACAGTAATAATAATCATACTTCACCCTGAGTCTCTAAGTCCTAGAGTAAATGTCAGGGAGGAAGGAAGGAAGAGCAGGCCAGATCAGTGTTGAGACTAAACCACTCCTGGTGATAAATATACTCATCTGACAAATAAAAGACAACCCATAGTTTGACTTAGCATAACATGCAAAATGAGTCACTGTATGTAAAACACAATAAATTGCATGGCAGTACTATGAAGTATGTAAGGTTAGAAAGTGGTGCCTCTTTCCAGGTGACCACAGTTACTCTGAAAATCAACCCCCTTGAGTTGTTATTTAAAGCTCACAAGTGTAAGAAAGCAAACACTTAGTAGAATTTAAGATCAGGTGACACTCTCATACCGAAACTGTTGTGTTGGCTTGATTAAACAAATGCACTCAGGGCTCATGACAAAGCAATCAGCATCTTTCAAAAAACTAATTTTTGGATATGAGTACTTGTGGGGGTGGCAGTGGAGAAAACCTTTTATAGCAGTGATTTTTTCAAAAGCTCCAAATGCATTGGGTATCACATACAAACACACACAATTTTATTTGTATGCCGCCTTGTCACATTTCGAACCATGTTCAAAGCAGCTTACAACATGACCACAACTTCGAAAGGTAGTCACAAACAATAAATTAAACATTTAAAAGTACACAACCAAACTGAACAACTTACACAGAAATCACAAGATCTAAAATAAAGATGCCAAAAGAACCCTTTCAAAAGCCCCCCCCCAACTCTACCCTGCCCCAGAATTTGTTCAGCAGATCAGCTTTTGTAGTTGGAGTCAGTCAGCACCCTGCCCTCCCAGGCCAGGTAGAAAAGGCCTGCAAGGTCTCCCAGGACTCGCAGCCAAAATGGCCATTAAAACTGACCTTTTCCTTTTAGTTCAAGGTAGATAATATCCCATCCTGCTTCAGTGTGAGGGGCTGCCGGGGTTCTGCCTACTGCACATGGCTTTCTTGCAGTATATCCCTTTAAGATGGCCATGATTGGTTCCACCAGGAGGCACCACAGCCGGGCCTTTCAGAGACCATGCTGGTGAGAGCCTGCACCCTGAACAATAAATCAGGCAGTTCATGGCTCTCTCACTTGTCAGCCCAATAAGTGAAAGGAGGGACAGCTGGTTGAGATCAGGCTAAAGGAGGAACAGGATCAGGAGAAGGACTTAAACAGTCCCAGAACAGAGTGGAGGAAGCAGGAAGATGGAGAAGCTGAGCCAGGAATGCGCCCAAAGATAGGATCTACAAGATCCGAAACTGGCAGTTCCTAGCGGTCCCAGGCAGTGGATCTCATTTCTTAAATCTCAGGGAGATGTTTGGGCACTGTCTCCAGAGTCCTATAGGGAGATGCTTAGAGAGCCACTGAACCACCTGCAGTCATCAGAAAAGGATCTCTCCTCCCAAGTGGCAGTCCTAGCCTGAGAAGGCAAAAAACATTACCGCCCACTTCCTGAAAGGAAACCAAAGGGCATGAGTCAGCCACCAGAAGGAGCCCCAGTTTAGCTGGCCAAATGATTTAGCTTGATCCTTGATGCTGAAAACTCGCCATTTTCAGGAATTGTATGGGTCTACCCAGAAAGGAAGGCAAATTAGAGCTCACCATGAAGGAAAGCCAGCACTTCTAGGCTTACAAAAGCTTCATTTAACTAGACATGTCTTGCCCTGTTCCAGACAGGTCTGTTATACATTCCCTAATGGAATTGTAGGGTTCATGTAGTCCCAATAACGACCCCTAGGTTGAATTTTGATTTTTCTGGGTTATTTTTTTGTAGCCAGATGCTGAAGGAGACAAGAGGGGAAAGCATGGAGCTGGTGGCCATGAGGCATTTGATGTAGGAACATACAAAGCTGCCTTATACTGTGCCCATCTTGCTCAGTACTGCCTGCACCGACTGTAAGAGACTCTCCAGGGTTTCAGACAGAAGCTTCTCCCAGCCCTACCAAGAGATGCTGAGGATTCAACCTGGGAGCTTCTGGAAGCAAAACAGATGCTCCTCCATTGAGTGTCCCCTCACCCACAACTCTCCAACACTGCCCCTAAAGAAAACCAACATTCTCTTATGTTTGTGGTTAAATGGACTTACTTGGGCTGCAATCATATATATACACACTTACTTGCAATCATCTACGTATACACCTTCTGTAGCCAAGTGTAGAATTGTACCGCTAAAGAAACTCCACACAGACTTGACACAGAATAGAAGAGTCTGCACTTGTCTTTGGACTGGGCAGAAGGTTTCACATTCATCCTCCTGCGGAAAATGTTACGAATCGTCAGGTTTTACAAGTGATAAGTGTTCACCATTATATTTTACCTGATTATGAAGGACAGCTCCCCTCTAGCAATGTCATCTGCCATAAAACACTGCCATAGCAATCCATCATTTTCTGTCTTATTCTCCCCCCTAATGGCCATTTTGAGGAAGTGTGCTTCTAATCGCCTTTCTTCATTTCTGAAACTGTGTTGGAAATCATTATGCTAGGGTTTTTGTGTGTGTGGAAAAAACAGACAAGGGCAATTTCCCAGATTTTTCTTTTCCGTCTCACAATACAGGAAACTTTTTGCTGACACACTGATTGGAAATTATTTATGCAAAACAACCACCACCACACCACCTACTCTTCACTAGAAGGTCTCAGGGAAGGCTATATCAATGTAAAATACAACATTAAAAAGAATTTAAAACAAATTACAGTTGCAGGAATATGGTGGAACCTCCTTCTGTTTAAATGTCAAAGGCCAAGGAGAGGGAATTCCACAACTTAGGACCTGCCACTGAGAATTACTTCTCCCGTGCCGCCACCAACTTGAATGTCTGAGGGGACCAGAACTATCAAGAGGGCCCCCTCTGCTGATCCTAACATGCAAGAGAGTCTGTAGGGAAGGAGGCAGTCTTTCAGATATTTGTGGTCTAAGACATTTGGGATTTTAAACACTAGCATGAGCACCTTCAATTGGACTTGGAAACAAACTGGCAAGCAGTTAAGCTCTTTTAAAATAGGGGTTATATTAGTTCTAAGTGGAAGGCCAGCTAGTAACCTGGCTGCTATATTTTGAACTGGGTTGAAGTTTCCAATTTGCCTTCAAGGACAGCCAACCCTTGTATGTGTGTGTTGCTTACTTTAATACAAGGACCACAGCTATTATTATTATTATTATTAGTAGTAGTAGTAGTAGTAGTAGTAGTAGGGCTCCCAAAAAGTTATGCTTTGAAATAATCAGTTGTGCTTCATTCTAAATTAATGGCAAATACCTCACACACTTTCATGGGGGACAAACAGCTCTGTATATTCTGTCTGTTTAAGGGATATTCAGTCCAGTCTTAATGCCAGTCAGAGATGCCTCCCCATACACTCACACAGATCAGTTTTGTCCCCTATGAAAGTGTGTGGGGTATTTGGCAACTTTTGGAAGGTAGCCTCCCTTTTAAAGTTGAGGAGGTAAAAAGTTTTCCTTTTTCCTTTCTCAGAGTGTCTATGTGGGTTTTGGCCTTTTCCTCTCCAGAGGTGGAACAAAGCAGAAAAGGATGAGGCTGGTTCTCTCTTCCCGCAACCCCACTGCAAGGGGGAGCAGATAGAGAAGAGAACCAGCAACTCCACTGGTGCTTTGAATTAGGTTCCTCCACTTTTCCCTGTCACTTCAAACTCAGCAGGAAATTCCAGGGTTCTCGTTTTGTTGCCAGAAGGTGGTGCTAACGTTGCATTAAGCACATTATATCAGTCGAACGTGTGGAAAAGCTCAGCTTCTGGGTCATGTTGTAGGAAGAGAAATGTTCCACTAGCACGCTCTGAGCCGTTTGCTCTAATGCAATGTGCAGGCCTGTTTTTCAATAGTCGGAGAGAATGATTCACTAGCAAATGAAGAGAACATTTATGAGTCTGCCTGTCCCCTGCCAAACACTAGGGGATGTGGGGGAAGAGGAACGGGAGGAAGGAGTTGTGTCATCTGGGAGAAAGAGCAAAGGGGCAAGGCAGGTGCAGCTTGCTTGGAGACAATCTAAACAAGAGGGGAAACCATCCCTTTTTGCACATATTTTAATATCCTTTCCCCTGAACTGAGCCAGCAGACAGTAGGGAGCAATGTTAGCTGTGCTCTGGAGCCGGGACAAATAGAAACGTTACACTCCGTTAGTTGCAGCCAGAGTTATTGAAAAGGTTGCACAGCAGTTCAGAAAGATGGTCGCCAAGAAAATAAAGGAATTCACC